GAAACACTGCGATACAGCCCTGCAGTGACAAGGAGGGACAGGGAGATACTGGGAAACACTGCGATACAGCCCTGCAGTGACAAGGAGGGACAGGGAGATACTGGGAAACACTGCGATACAGCCTTGCAGTGATATGGAAAGACAAGGAGTGGCAAGGAAAGAGAGAAGACGACTGGGACACAGTGTAATACAGCTTAGTAGAGATCAAAGGAGAGACAAAGAAAAAAGCAGAATGATATAATGACATATTATATAGCAGAAATCAGATAAAGGGGCAGAGAGAGGAGATTGGAAAAACTGTGACAGCCAATCTAGAAGGACGAATGGAGAGAATGCAAGAAAGGAGACAGAAGATCTGTGCTATAATTCAACTGAGCTAATAACAGAGCGAAATTTAGGAAAAAATTACAGTATAAGCACATGGATTTGGTCATATGAGGCAGGACCACCAGGAAATTTAAATGATAAACCCTGTTCCCATCGAAAATATGTGTGACATTCTGGGGGTGCGTGACATTCTGGGGGTGCTTACAGCAATGACATGGAAGCCACTGGCTTTACGAGCAGTAACCACGCTCTCAGTGGGATGGTGCTGTCAGAACTGGATCATTTTAAACAGGCCCAAAAAATAAGCATCAGAAAAGTCAGTCAGATAACGGCAATCAAGATGCCAAGTGGCCTGGAATGAAGGTTCAGTGAAACCTCTATTACATGCACACATTCACCCTGTGATCAGGGTCATCTAAAGAAAAGTCTGAGCTTTTTAATATTACAAGACACAGATTTCTGAATTTCTCTTTATTTTGAAATAATTCACGTTCAGTAACTAACTCAAGGGTACCAGAACAGCTTCACTGCTAAAATTTGACCAGACTTATCTTGATGCTACATCTACTAAGGTCCACTCAAAGGGACAGTCTCCTAATAGAGATCTCAGTCTCACACACACACACACACACACAGACACTCACACACACACACACACACATCTGTATAATTCTCTCACTGAACCCTTTAGGAAATATTAGGCTGGTTTCTTAAAAATCCTTGGAAACAACGTGTTAGATTTAATCGGAAACCATCAGACAGGAAAGACAGAAAAAGACAGAATCAAGCGCCAACTTGACAAGAAGACTGGGCCAAAAAACAGAATGTATGTATATAAATAGTATATATGAATGTGTGCCAGTCTGTCAATGGTGCAGCAAGCCAGCGGCAAGACCAGAGAGCCCAGGATGTCAGCATGTTAATTGGCCGTAGACGGGAGAAGCGGTCGGCCTGTCAATCAAGGGCGGTTTAGCGCAAACGGCCCATCTGTCGTGCCATCTTGTCCGCAGTCTTTCATACCCAAGTGTCCATCAGTTTAGCCTCCTGCGGACGGCGTGTGACTGGGAGCGTCACCCCATTACGGGGGGACTGAACCATCCCGTCAGGCCACGTGTGTGTCGCTTCGACACCTGGCTGACGCCTCCTTCGGCACTGCGTCGGCGCCCGTTACGCCCTGCGGCCAGTTTCCAGGCCTGTTGGCAGTGTTAATATACTGTGGCTCGCAGTTCAGTCAGTAGGTGGATAGAAGCTATTAAACTCTCCCTGGGTGAAATGTTAGCAGGCTTGGGTCTCTAGTGTGTGTAGGATGCCAGTCAATAAAGAGTCAAACTGTAAGACACTGTCAATAACCACGCAGGGATGGAAAGTGGCAGCTCGACGGAACATTTCATTATTTCCCTCATTTAGGGAGTTCGTTAACTTGCTCTGCTGTCCCGAGGGCTTATTCTAACTGGTGATTAAACACCTCACATCCCCAACAGGAACACCAATTAAGTCTGTTCACACTCATGTGGGTCCACTCGTACAGGCCAGAAGCACCTCTGCAAAAAGTACACATGACCAGGACGAAGAACATGCTGTGTGCCTCGGACAGCAGGCCGATGAGCCATGACTTGTCTCTCACTTTCCTCTCTCCACTGCTGTCTCCCTCACCCGTCCATACTAGCACATCTCCCTCCCTCTCTCTCTCTCTCTCCCGCCCTCTCTCCCTCTCTCTCTCTCCCTGTCTCTCCGCCATCTGTCCCAAGTCTCAGCACTTAGCAAGAGAAGTACAATTTTCAGCACCGCGGACAGCGGACGAGATGGGAGGACAACTCCCATCTCGCGCTAACTTCGGGGAGGGGTGAACAGGAAAACAAAAACTGCAGCTCGGTACCAAAACGACAAATGATGACACGGGTTCCTAGTGTTGCTGTGGGGATAGCTGGTAAGCTGCCAAACTTTGAGATGAACCACAAATACAAACGCTGACCCCACCAAGGTTCAGAGTAGAAAAAAAACCTAGCAAGTGGAAAAGTTTTCACAGTGTGTGCACGCGATAATATAGCCGGTACAACTGCAGTGCGGAGGGTATCAAAGTGATACGAAGACGTCTGATTCATATGCGCTATCAAGGATGGGTATTATTTCAATGCAAAAGCACGATTAAGACCAACATCATAGTAAAAAAATAAAATAAATAAATACAATTAAAATTCATTACATTAAAAAAAAAACTAGTAAGACAATAGGCACTTTGGAACACAACAAAATAGGGGGGATATTTACAACTGCAAAAAAATACAAGGTCACATTTACGTGATTTTACATTTCACTTGCATACAGGTGCAATCAGACATTTAAAACAAAACATAAAATCAACACTGTCATACAGTATTTAAAACACCGAAAAACTTAAAGGGAATAGCATCGAAAGATTTAACTTACAAGATTTCTCAGTCGGTCTTCAGTGCTGAGTACATAAACGATTAGTTTCAAAAACGGGAAGTTATTTGCAATCGACTGAGGATAATCTCCTGTCAGTTTGTGTATGTAAATATTTGACAGCGACAACTGTGTATTTAACAGCTAAAGGAATATTTGCCACATTGTAAGCGAAATAAATGCGACTGCAAATTAAGACAAATCAAACGGGACTACCGGACTATAACGAAATATTACAGAAACAAATTAACAGTAAATGTGCTAATCATACGCGATACGCTTGTCAGCTAAGCACAAATTCAGCAACGATACCCTGAAATCAAAAAATCTGTTATCAAAATACAGAATAACTGTATCTTATTTATACAATAAATTACAGTAACGCAATCCTCTAGCTACATCTGTGATTCATTCTTTAATATTGCTAGTGTTTACCGGTGGAGAGAATACACAAGCGATCGCAAAAAATATATATCACGTTTTTTGGAAACAAATCCAGTTCATATATAAGATCCCACAACTTGAATTCAATATCTGATACGAAGCCCCGCGTCCCGATAAGGCTATCGACCGTCGCTACTACAGCGATCGCACTTAGAAGCGCTAGACTCACGTTCAAAATGCCATATTCCTGTCAAACGCCAGCCGTCGAAAATTATCTGCGGATGTCGTTATACATCAGTGGGGGGAAAAAAGTGTCATTCCACGCGAACGCTCTCACACAGTACATATGTAAAAATTAAGCTCGGAGGCCTTTAAACTGCAAATCGGCATGATGCAGCGCGATTATTATTACATTTAGATTAGTAGATAATAAAAATAAAATAAAAGGACAGTGTAAACACGGGCGACGGAGCGGTAGCCGCGTCCCTCCTCCCCTGCCAGTGCTGCCCCTCAGTCACTAGCAGCGTCACAGGGTGAGACGTAGCGCCGAACCCCGCTCCGGTCCGCTCCGGTCCGCAGTACACCGGGCAGACTCACCGCAAGTGCACGGTGCAGCATAATGAGCACTATTTCAGCTCTTATTGGCTAATGGGAAGACAGATGATGTGCACGCGTCCCAGATAAATAGTGCACTCCCCCCCACCCCCAAACGCCGTGCTCTGTTGATGTACATCAGTCGCCGGCCAATTACCCCTCCCTGCTCCATGCCTAGTGTCAATATGATGTATGCACACGGTCGATAAATATTTGCTTCCGCCTGATCCTGCGCGGAGCTGGTTGCTCTAGGTGTTAGTACGAACTGCATGCCAATCAGAAAGTGTCTGGCGATTTTGGGCTTGTTTTTTCGTTCGGGTGACGTCAATTGCCACTTTATTCCTTTCTTGCCAAGATCCGGTTAAGCGCATTTTTTTGCCAACAGTCTCAGTACAGATAAGATAATTGGTTAATATTATAAAGGGAAATTGTGATTATTACGTGGGATATTCGTACCTATCGGAAACTCCACTCCACTATTGTTCTGTCCTTGTAAAGCAGACGCGGGGGTCCGCGAACCAGGTGTGGCCCTCTGCCACAGTCCAGATTCAGGCGGTCCCACCCAGGGCGTTCCAGCTGCATGTGTCTCTTCCTGCCTTGGGGCATGCTTGTCTGCTAGTCTAGCGGGTTTTTCCTCCCTATGCGTGTTTAATGGCATGTTCCTTCCTGGACAAGTTGCGAATTCAGTGGAAAACTTCCCCTCGGCTGACACGCGAGGACACACGCAAGCACACGCAAAGACAGACTTGATAAACGCAATGGGCACATAAACGTTCCATTTATTCCCTGTTTCATTCTCTGCGCTTTACTTAAATAAAAATAAATGGTGATCTCTGAGTTTAGCATACAATTGTTGCTCATGTCACCTTTATGTCTCCCTTAAATCCAATCGGAAACGGCACAATGTCCAATCTGTGTTAGTTTCCAACCTTTGGTGACATTATATTCATGGCGTGAGCCTTTTTAATGCCGCTGGTTTATCTCTGGAGTAAAACCCATTGGTGACGATATGTCGCCTGGACTAGTACTATGAGGTCAGGCAGGAAATATAAATCTACTTAAGGACACAAAGAGAGCTTTTCTTTGCTTTAAAATAGAGGGGATTGAAATAAGGAGAAATTTGAGATATAGACTCTTATATGCTGCTTTGAAATTGCAGAAAGCGATTTCTAATATCTAGGAAACTCAGCTAGAAATACTTACATCACGCAGTTTGTTTTTTTTTTTCATTCAATTGATTTTTATACGTGTTTCTGTCATGTCGAAGCACAATTTGTTTTCCTCGGTAAAATTGCTCCCCTCTCAATCTGCCCCAGCTCCGGCACCCTGCCCTTGCGCGCTTGCACTCGCGGATCACTGTCTGTCATCATCTTTCCTCACACATCTTATCTCACTTTTCCTCTGTCCTACAGAATTAAAGCCCATCACCGATTTCCTCGCCTCAGTCCCGTCTCCGACCTTTTTTTTCCTCTCTTGTATGCCATCAGTCAATTATCGCCTTTTCCCATTTTTCCCCCCACTTGCTTTCCCCCTCTCCTTCTCTTCTTCCCTCCATCTCCCCCGGCGACCAACTCTAAGTGCATTCTTTTCTATATTTATATCGCAGCTGAATAATTAAAGCGCAGAGACGGGGGGATAATCTTTCTTTTCCTGAATGTCTTCTCATTAGCCATTAACGTCGGTGATATTCTGACGGTTTCCCCATTTCACCCTCTGTCCTATCCCACCATCCCCTTCTGCATCGTTAAATACTTTGGCCAGTTCTCCCAATCCTGTCACCCTGTCAGCATCCCCTCTCTGAAAAGGACACCTGACTCTCTCCAGATGCCGCTGTAAAACATCTATTTACTTGCTCAGCTCTGCATTAGTATTAAACACATGCTGCCTTGAAAAAGCAAAAAGGTAGATCTACATAAATGAGATAGAGGCTGTGACCTCTCCAGTTCAAAGCTCTAGCCTGTAACCCCAGCTGCCCTCACATACTTTACTGCTCCAATCCCTTACCATTTTTGCAGTTTTTAAATAATTAATTTTTTTATTTTTACTAACAGACATTTTTTGTAAAAAGTGATGTAAAATTGAGAAAGCAGAGACAGATAGTCCTTGGATCAATTGGGCATTAAGGACCTTGTTCAGAGGCCCAATGGTGAAATCACTCTGCAGACTCTGGGATTTGAACCAGCAACCTTCTGATGACAGAGTACTAACTCACTCAGCCATGCACCACCCCTTCACCCCACTTACTCACTGAATTTTCATGTACAGTCTGTATTGTAACCCACCCCCCTTTAAAACGGTAATGCATGCTTGTGTGCAACTGCATGGGCATAAATTGTGTGTGTGGGGGGGGGGGGTCGTAACCCCCGAATAATCAAAACCAGCCAATACAACCCACTGGGCCCCCTCAAATGGGTGGCGACATCACCCCCCCCCAACCCTCAGTGCTAAATCTAAAGTTATGCCCTTGTGCAACTGAATGCCATAGAGCCTCCACATAGGAGATTAAACCACACCCCACCCCCCAGCGTTGATGAGATCGTCGGCAGGCCGGAGCCACAGGCCCCACTAGGTGACACAAACATGGCCGCATATCAAATCAAGCGCCGTGGGCAGAACACAGAGGAGATCTGGGCAAAGCAGCTGGCAGATTGCCATTGGCCACCACAGAGACTCACCCGGTAAGAAACGGCACAGGCGTCAGACCACGCTCACGACGGCCAGAAGCAGGAAGGCAATCATTTCCTTTTGATTGAAAACACAACATGTGGCATCACACAATGACACCGTATGAAAAAGAAATGAATTACCCATTCGGCAAACATCTCAGGTGATGCAATGAACATGCACCCCCATGCGCAGCCGGTACACAAACACATTCAAAAGGCACACAAAGAGTCTCTTTACATAAAAAATAAAGAAAACAGCGGGCGATAATAGCAGCATCGACGACGAGTTCTCCAGCAGGAGTTTTGAAGAAGTTTAATGGGATGAAAAGACACAAATGGAAGGACAAAAAAAAGAATGAAAAGAAAGTGTGAGAAGCCCTTTGAATTTAGATGGAAAACAATGAAAGCCCAATTTAGGAAAGAGTCCGGGAAATGCAGCGCCATTAAGAGAAAAAGAGGGGAAAAGATGACTGAACCAGAGGAAGAAAAAAGACAGAACGATAAAGGAGAAGGGAAAAGGGACCCACCGTGACATGGTGCGGTTTTATTTGAGGGCTTCTGACTGGTCGGCTTTTATGATGTCATTGGGGAATTTTAAACTGCCAGAGACTGCATACAAGTCCCAGTGGTGATGGGGGTGTTTGGGGGTGGGGGGGGGCGTTAGCGAGTGGACAGGTGGGAGAGCTCGTTCCTGTTTAATCTAGGACTGTGTCATGGGTATTGATCTGCAGCAGCAGTGGGGGGGGGGTCACTCACACAGAGCTGGGTGGGACATGGCAGCTGTAATAAAAAATACTGTAATAATACAGACGTTAATATTCATGGGCAGCTGGTTACAGTCGTGATTTACGATCAGATGGGGGGAGGCGACAGGTCTGGACACTCGACTGTGGATGAACTCATTGATTTTTATCGAATCGATGTTGTGGCCAGATGAGTGTGAACTGAGTCGCTCATTTCCGTTGGAGGGAAACATATGCAGAGAGCAAAAGACTGGAAGAGAAAAACAATACATAAGAAATATGATGAAATGTACAGCTGAAGATCCAACAGGCTTCAAACAGGGGCAGATTCAGACGTCCTGATTCGTAGCTGAATCCATCATTAGCTTCAGCCTTAACATAAACAAGCACGCCTTTATTACCCAAACTTTGTTTGGGGCTCAGCTGCTCCGTCTTGAGAGCTGAGCTTGGACGGCACACAGAGAAGCCAGACACTGAGAGAAACAAGTACTGGCGAACAATCCCTCGCTCCATCCGCACTGGCGAGCAATCCCTCGTTCCATCCGCACTTCAATTAATCGCTTTCAAAGCCTCTCAGAGCAGCCTCGCCATTATCTATGGATCCTATCCTTCCCAAAAATAAACACATTTGTTCTTGTATTAGTGTATTTCGGATGCGACGACTAAACCCCTTTATGAGTGTTGCCTCCAGCGATCAAGACTGCCTGCAACCAGCCGCTACCCATACGGCAGAGAGCAGAGCAGGAAGGGGAGGGAGAGGCAAGGATGAGGACCAGGGCGGAAATCTGCGGGGTACAGCACCACCACTCTTAGATAAGCGGCAAGCCAACGGTCTGCAGGCTAACTCTACACCAAGCGCTTTCGTCAGGGAAGCAGTGAAAGTGATTTGGATGGATTTGTGTTAGATTTGCCAGGAAAAGAATGTGGTAGGAAGCTTGTGGGAGGCGGGGAGGTGGAGGGGGGGATGATGGTCCTTCAGCATCGTCCACCATTGCGAACCAAAGACAAAAACTTTTTTCTTCAAATGAATTTCCTTGCTGCCAGGTTAACCCATGCAGGAGGACAAGTGGAGTGGGGAAACCTGAAAACTTCCTTTTCCGGAAGGAACTGGGCGATTAGCGCCTAACGTGGTTACGTGCCGCACAATTAGCACGTAATGGAGGAGCGGATACATTAAAACCTTGGACGGGGAAAAAAAACCTTCTCCGGGTAAATGGACTTATTGAGTTGAAAAGGACGGCATATTTGCTTTTATTTACCCTCCCCGCCTCTTTCATACCTTCATCTTTCCAGCGCTGGACACCAGGAGGACAAGAAAGCGACAGACACGAGCAGAGTGGGAGGAACAGCCCAGAGCTCAGAAGAGATATTAAATAAAAGTTTTATTTGATTTAGGGTTGCATAAGTTACCATTTACATCGTTAATGACATCATCAAGCACATCATCTGAATTATTAGACGTCTACTTCACTTTTCAAAAGACATCACACTTGGAGAAAGCTTTAAAAAAAAAAGAAAACAGGAAAAAGCTCAGGAAAATGTACAGCAGACAGGGCTGTGGGGTGAGGCATTCTGCTGAGGCTCTGCTGGGAAGCGCTGATCTCCTATCCGGGAGCGAGGCTCGCTGGGGACGTCCCTCGCCAGCTCACTCACCCAGAGTGTCACAGATCAGTGTCAGGGGAAGGGCAGAGGGAGCAGGAGCAAAAGAATAGATGGGAAGGAGGGGGGAGCGTAGGGGTGAGGGGAGTCACGAGAAACCGTCGGGGGAGGCGAGGCGGGGCAGGAGAGAGGCAGAGGAGACGTGATGCTCGAGGTCCAGTTTGAGCTGAGATCGTTAAGGATCGCCAGTGTGCCTGTAACACTGAAAGCAGCCGCGCAAGGTTATCGCTACAAAGAAACATCGAAATATCTACAGCTTATACAAGGTGTGGCCTTGTGCTCAACCGGTCCCATCTCTGCCCAGGAGGGAGCGGCACAGAGTCAGAGAAGCTTCGACTCTAAATTACTGAACAGGAGCCTTCGCATCGACTGAGCCCCAAGAGGAAGCCTGTGGAAGGACCAAGGACCAGCAGAAGGATGATAAACCAATCAGCTGCAAAGTAACGGCGAGGGGCATCTCATTAAAGCCCAAGGAACAGGATTACCGTGCATGCTCTCCTGAATTCAATTTTCTTTATAATCCTACATGTTCATATGGCAAAGGCACCTTATAAAAGTGCTCTACTGATTATAAGTACCTGCTGAGAAACCAAAACTAATTATGACATATTTAAGAACAAACAAAAAAAAATCAAACAAGGGAAAATAAATCAGTGCGTGCTAGAACATCATGCCATGCCAAAGCATTAGTTTAGGCATGCCTGTCAAGAAGATATTTAATTCATTGAAATTCTTTGTTTTCAGAGTGAGACTCTGCCCTTTGATAGGACGTGACTGCAATCCGTAACGGGCTTGTGCTGTAGCCGAGCAGCGGCAGAGTTTCTGTGGCGCGAGGAGCTTGTCATGTTTCATTAAAGAATCCGGCACCAACCTCAGAGGACCCTTTGGAAGTTCGGATTATACTTTCTTGGGGGGGAGGGGGGGGGAAATACCAAGAAGGTGCCAACTTCAGGCAGCTTATAATGCTTCTCTAGCATGAGAAGCAGGTGAGGGTTTCAGAACTAGAGGTGACGCACATGTGGCCTCTTGTGTGAGCAAGAGAGAACATCTGTTAAAGTGACCAGCGGGTAAGTTGGATCGGGTGAAACCACAGATCTTATGCGCTATTTCTGTGTTGACTCCTCTATGCCCTGCTGTAAGACCTCGCCTTCCTTCACAGCTAAAAGGCACTTAAGACTCCCTCTGACAGTAAAGTTGACGCAAGTCCAGAATACTGACCGTTCCCAAGATTTTGCAAAGACGCCACAACTCGGCGAGTCATTGTCGACTACAGAAAACGGCTGGTTTCTCGTTAAGGCCATAGCGCGGTAAGACGCGGACGGAGAGGACTTCCCTCGTCCAAACTAAGCGCGGACGGAGGAAGAGGAAAGCCCGCTGAGGTCCGGAACTGGGCACCAAAGGACCCCGCTTTCAATTGTGTGGCTTTTTTTTCCCCAGTACTTCAGTAGTCTTCCTTTTAGCCTATAGTAACAGTATTATCCAGGAACTGGGCTTGATTTCCCAGCCAGTAACTAAAAACCCTTTACCACTCAATTCAAAGTTACTACTATGATTATTTTGTTTTCATAAAGTGACTTAAGTAATAAGTTAATACTCCAGTCAGCCAAGAGGATCTACAACAAATGAAAACATTTCTAGAAAAATGCACGACACAGAGTTTAACCAATATAGCACAAATTGAAGTGTTTTCACTCGACTTCCTCTGAGCTACAAGTACAGCGGTATGGAAACCGATAAGCTCCGCTTCCGTGCGAGTCAATCAATATCATCCCTCGGTGCACAGTGCCAGTATTTCACTTGCTGATGGTGGTCCTGAAGAGACGAAGGATCTCTTCATCTATGGCCGCCATCGATTAGTACGCCCATGGTGTATTAAAGCTAGCTCTCGAATGCCATGTTAGTGTTTCACTTATTTTCCATTTTTATCTCTAGCTAACCCTTCTAGCATTTTTTTCTGCAATTATGACTAATTCCCATCCCTGTCTGATCATCTATAAGTCACTCTGCTCCATACATGAGCAGAGATCACAGACTCACACTCCTGTGACATGAGCAGAGATCACAGACTCACACTCCTGTGACATGAGCAGAGATCACAGACTCACACTCCTGTGATGCTGTTTGAGGAAACTCTTCTGCTTCTCGCTTCCTTCCGTCGCTGCCACCACCGTCGCCTCCGCCTCCCTGTCCCAGGCCTCCTGGCCCCGTCTCACTGCATCCAGAGCATCAGTCTTGCCCCTGTCTTTCTCGCCCTCGTCCCCCACCAAACTGACAACATCGCTCAGGTTGCCCAAGTGCTCCACGGAGTCGCACTTCTCCAGGTCAGACGCGATGGTCCTCAGGCTAAACACGGACATGGTGTCGGACCCGGCCCGGTCCATCTCGGCCCGCTCCCTCACCCCCCAGCCGCTCTCCGAGTGCCTCTCCACCCACTGTCTGGTTTTCTCACTGAGCACCCAGTCGCTCTCCACCTCTCCTCCGGAAGCCCCTCCCTCCGACTCCGCCCCAATGGGAGAGGTCCGCCCCTCGTAGGTGCAGCGCGTCCTCCTTGCAGCTCGTCGGCGCCCCCTCTGGGCATGGATCTGCTCGCTGATTTGCTCGAGGTTGCGCAGGGCCACCGAGTAACGGGTCTTCACCTTGGACACACGTTCCTCCAGCCGGACTACTTTAGATTTATGCTCCTGCGAAAACAAGAAAGCACACAAGAGGGAACTGCCCTTAAATGTCAGCTAAAGCAAAAAGGGCCGTAACCTTGCTCAGTGTTTCCAAGAATCATCTACCAACAGTGTTCAAACTGCTGGCCCATCCATCCATTTCCATACACTGCATTTTAAAGCAGGGTTGCAGTATTCTTGGAGCCTATCCCAGGAAGCAAAGTGCAGCAGGCAGAGGACATCCCCGACAGGATGCCAGTCCATCTCTCCCTATGCCAGTGTTTCCCAATCCAGTCCTCGGGGATCCTCAGACAGTCCATGCTCTTGCTCCCATGCGGACTGTCTGGCAGGGAGCTGGGAAGGAGCAAAAACGTGGACCGTCTGAGGGTCCCCACAAAGCGGGGCGTGAAACACATCCCTATGCTAGTTACAGGCATTTTTTTGTAATATGCGCAACATTCCTGCTTCGACACCACGCAAAACTGCTAACATATCAACTAGATACATAATCCGTACATTATCTAGGCTAGCTTGGGCAGCATATCTGCTTGCCGTAGCCAATATACAGAAAAAATTAAGAGACCACTATATTTTTAAAACAAATCTGCATTTTTAAATCCTGGTTTAATCCTGTTTCTGCTGGCAGAGGCTACGCTGAGCACCAGGCTGAACAAGGTGAAGCAGGAGACACTGGGAACGACCAAAAAACAAGCAGAGTAAAGGCCAGAACTGAGTGATGGCAGAGATGACCGGTAATGTATCCAAGAGTTTCTCATGAATCGTAGGATGACATTAAGTGACCTTCAAAAGGAACGGGAAACATTAAGTGTAGGTGTGAAGTGCACATTCACACACCCATAAATTGAGAAATCAGTGAAACAAAAAACTCTGATGTGGTCTCTTAATTTTTTCCATGGCTGCATAAGTGCTGGTTCTTAAACACTATATCACAGGAACTGAGTCTCCACACCCGCAGAAAATCTCTACATGCTCAATATTCACTTCTCAGGCTTATTCTCCAACATTTAAATCCAACATCATTGTTTTTACACATCAAGAGTGGCAAAGAGATCGATCAGCATTAACTCCTTTCTTTATGTGATTTCTACCCACATTCCTAATCTATTATGTCTCTCTTTCCCCACAGTCAGGAGAGGCAATTTAACCCCATCCTGAATCACCTGCTGAATAAACAATCCCGGTCCCAGCTTGGGAGAGGTGAAGCCTACCACACCCGTCCTTTGACGCATGCTCACTCAGCCATGATTCTACAGGGCACGTCGAGTGACATAAACCACTTTGAGGAGAGCGCTATTGGCCCAATTCCGCTCCCAGCTCCCAGCTGTCAGTAGATGTCACTGTAGAAAAGTCAGCAGAGAAGAACTCCAACCCCCAAGCCAACGGTCATGTCCCAAATACAATGGAGCTCAAACACACACTGAACTTTGCTGCGATCACTGTTAAACTGGTGGGGGGACTTTTGATTCTTTTCATGGTAACTTCAGCAGTATCAATGTTAGAAAACAGCATACGACAACAGTTAGAGTCAAGGGCATAATTTTAGGTTGAGCATTGGGGTTGAGGTCTCCGCCCATTTAAGGGGGTCCAGGGGGTTGCATTGGATGGTTTTTATTAACGTGGGGGGTACAACCCCCCCCATCCCCCCATAATTTAAGCCCATAGTTAGAGTGCTGTCTCCTAGCAATTGCGTTCCAGAAATGAACCTAAACGTACCTCCAGGATGTGGTTGAGCTGGGCCTTGAGCTCGAAGTAGGGCTTGGACTTGACGATGACCCTCTTGAGGTTCTTCTGCAGGGTCTGCACCCGTGCCTCGGCCTCCTGGCACAGCTGCGTGACGCGCTGGTGCTCCCGCTCGCTCCGCAGCCGTTCTTCCTCCGCCTCGTTTACCTGGCAAGCACAAGCCCCACCCCCCGCAGAGGTTGAGAGCTGGCTACTGCAGGTGTACCTTTGATGACACATTTCTAACCAAGTTTAAAACCCTGCGGTCTATCTATGAAAAAAGCTCAACACCAAAAAAACAGTATCTTCCTTGCCCCTCAAACGTACTTAATGTTGCTCAGCTTATCTACCATTTGCCATCGAGACACACTTCCCTTAATGATGAAATTATAATGTCTCGCCATTCATTAGTGTCACTATGTGAACTTCACGGAAGCTAGTGTGTCTCTGACACTCTGCCAGCTAGCATACCTACTAAAGGCATCCGAGGTTAAAGCGATAGCGTCGACGCGACGGGGGATTCCACTGCCAGCTCCACAGAGACATGACGCCAACTCATCGGCATGAAAGCGCAAACCTTCACGTGGCTCTGAGCTGACTTGCTGAGTGCCGGAAGCTACTGAAAAATGGTTCTGTCCATTTAATTATGTTCAGCTGTGGTTTGTCAAAATGCACAGTAGGGAAATGTGAACTAATAAGTCTTTCTTACATATATATACACACAGCAATCTATCTTCCACAGTGCATATCCAGTGGAGTGAGCATTAAAACTAATCCAGGATGCACACAGTTCAAGGCAGCAGAACACCCTAAAGGGGATGATCGCTAACAGAGGACAAACACACACTAGGGACAATCCAGAGGCACTAGTTCACAAAACCACATGGACCTCTTACACTCAGCAAATGTGGCTATACGGCGCAACTGGCATCCATCAATTTCTTAAACCAGGAATACAAGGATTTATTCAACACATCAAGCTGCAAAAGTAACCAAACCAGAGATGCTAATATTGACCAACAGCCAACAGGACTCCATACTATTCCATTTTATCAATGTTCAGGATGCTTAAAATTCTCACCAACTGGCCCGACTCACCTTAGCAGTGGCATGGTTCAGCATTTCCTGCCAAGTGGGGTCTAGTGTGTTCCGGTCAGCAAGCAGCCCCTGCTCCGCCACGTACACCATCTCCCTGGCTGCTGTATGCATGGAAACGGCCCTCTCGTATCTCAGCGCCGCCCTCTGAGTCTCCTGCTGAGCCTGTGTAGACGGGACCAATCAGATCGCACTGGAGGAAATCAGAACCAATTAGAGTGGAGCAAGGTAGAGACTGCAACCTATCAGTGAATACTGAGAAAGGTATACTAAACATTAGTAGTAAATGACAATAACACCTAACCAAGATGGAGAGATCCAACTGGACAAAACTAGGTCGCTCTGTTGAGAAACATCAACCATTCCACTATTTATAGCTTTTTCATTTTGTCAAGGAACCAAATCTTCCCAATGTTCTCCTCCTAAGACAAGAAGTACAATAAATCACATTCACTATCTTGTACTGCATATTTTGAAATTGCAGTTTGTTTTGGTTTCTGCGCTTCACCGTTCATTGACAACAGGAAGTGACAGTGGGCCCATTTATCTTAGGAGATGTGAGACCCATAAGGGAAGTGATATACATCAGCTAAAATAAACCAGCACTAGGGCCGATCCTGGGCTCCATGTGAGATAAGACACAGAGGAGGGATGGCTCAGCTGAAGGGGGGAGAAACTGGAGCAAATCTGATAAAATACTGACAGGAAAAGAGGAAATGAGGTGCGGGGGTTACGCTCCGGAGAACGCAGTCTTTGAAACAAACATTGTGGCCGACGGCGATGTCACAGCAACGCCTCAGGGTCCCTCCAGACATTACCCGCCCACGCTTCCTCACAAGCGACGAGCTTCAAAACGGACAGGATGCTGAAGGACGGGCATCTGACAGAAAGTGCCACATCTCCCCACGCCGGGGTGGGGGGGGCAGGGAGAGTACCTCCTTGGCCTGTCGCCGAGCTTCGTAGTATGGCCGGGCCTTCTCGATGCACATGCCCAGCTGGGAGCCCTGAGTGTTCAGCTTCCGGGCCGAGTCGGTGAGGATCTTCCTGTAACTGGAGCGCGCCTCCTGCAGACGGCAGACCGTCAGAGCGCTTCTGTGGGACAGCTACAAACACCGTGAGCAACAGGCTTGCGACAGACGTCGCCGGGCTCACGCACATCCAGCTGCAGCTCCAGCTGGTTGATTTCTGCACTCGCTTGGTTCAACTGCTCCAGCTCCTCCTGTAAGACAGGGTCCAAAGTCAGGCACAGCCTGGGAGACAAAACCCACTTTCAGCGTACCCTGTATATAATCATACATGACGAGAGCAGCACCACCGCTAGCCGCCGATTATCAGCCTCCAATTAAAAATTGATCAATGTATCATGCACTAAAAGTTTTTTAACAATTCAAATTAGATTCAAATCCATGTACTATGGCTACTTATCAGGCTAATAAGTATAAAGCACATGACATGGTATTAATAATTAAACCCCAGATTAATCGTAAAAATTATTTGACAAACTCCTAAATGAGTTGGATTGAGTCCAGGATAGTACTGCATTAGTTGTGGAAATGTATTACATATGCTCTCTAATATATACAATATAGACCCGGAATAAAGCTCTAAAAAGATTTTTTATATTTCCCATAATGTCAGCTATTGTTTCTTACCTGAATTCTTGGATCTAATTCTTCTTCATATTTTTTGTCCTCTTCTCCGTTGTAATCAATATTATTTTCATTACCGTTTTCATTTTCTGTATTCTCCTTCAGCTTTATCACATCCTTCTCAAATTCGCCCCCTGTCGTTTCCAAATTTTGGGCGTTTCCACCATTCCCTGCTCTCCCTTTCTGCCCCCGGTCTTTCTCCTCCGCCTCCTCGCCAGGCGTCTCCTCCCGCCAATCGCCCGGTTCCGGGCCTCCGGAACCCGCCGGACTTTCACGCAAACCGTCGGGCTCCATCGGGGCCCTCGAAATTCAAGAAGAAGCTGACCGAATTCACCTTGGAGTATTGCGATATGTGCATATATGTACCCGGCGTTTCAGAATATAAAAATGTTTCATTGATGTTTCTTGATTTTTTAAAAAAAATATATGTAATCTACCTAGCCAACTAACGACTACTAAGTAGCTAACTATTTAGAGAGCATTATGGCCAGCTAGCCGGTTTGCTAGCTAGCTAGCTCGCTACCATTTTTTACAGTCATCTTCTTGGTATTTTCCTGAATGATTAAATGGCTGAATTTCTTAATCAATAGTCTTTCATAAAAAAAAAAGGCGTTTAATCGCACAGCAAATTATACTGTTTTTTCTAGCGCCGTATTTCCATGTTGCTCTATCAAGACATTGCCACTTCTCTCATTCTCCTCAGCCTCCTTACTCGTTACATTACTGCCTTGTCAATTCGGTCAACGCGAAGCCGAACCGAAGTAAATAGAAAACGCGAGATCAATTTTTCCCCTCCGCATACGCCGTAGTCGCAATACGTCACACATCAAAAGTATGTTGTCATTCACTGTGAAATGTAGGATAATGGTGAAGATAGTGGACGTATGCAATGTTACAAAATTCAAATGGACATAAAATACTAGATTCAAAAGCTCAACTTTTAGCATATGATTTACAGTTGTCGATGATATTTAATTAAACATCAACAATGCATGCATAACTATAAACATAACCCAGAATGTACAAAATTTTCGGTTTTATTGCTTTATGTTTTAATAGTAATTTAGCTGGTCACATTTCAGTTAATATTTGTATTTCTCAGCCAAATATCATCCTTTTATTATTTTATTTTGTACAGCCAAAAATGTTATGTAATTCAATAAAATACTCTACTTATTCTACAGGAATACACCATACATTCAAAACCATTTTTATTTTGCCACCAGTTTAACATCCCTCATAAATTTAAAAGGGATTTTTTTTGTTCTCAGATATCTGTATTTAGTCAAAATGTCCTTCGCCTTCAGTCTGAATATCCCATTGGATGTTTCTTCTTTGTCCATCCCACATACAGCTATGGTCAGCACTGGCTTCCATGAATCCTACGTATGGCTTTTCTGCCGTTTCCAGAACCTTTTCACCTCACTGTGTCCATGCGGTGTCACGACCATCACCCTGTGGGGGGCATTCTGCCAAACCAGCACACCGAGGCCCTGCAGAGAGAGAGAAAAGCACTTCGGTCAAACCACACTGACTCATTCCAGCCAAGTACTGAAACAGGGAAATTCCATACTAAGTAAACTCCTCATAAATTGGACTGACACTAGAACTAACAATAATGTTTATAGTGTCACACTTAGGAGTCCCTTAACTATTCACTATATAAAATTATAAATACTATATTCTATTCTGATTTTTTTACTTGTGAAAAACAGTGAAAGGGACTGAAACAGGTCAGAAAAAAATCAATACAAATGTACCTTCCTTGGTCTCAAAGCAAACCTTTCTGTGCTTTTGCTTAAATTAGTAAATGTTGTCCTTCCCTTAAAAACTGCTAATACCCGAAACTTTCCAAAGATGTTCAGGGAATGTCGGAGTGGCCCTCCATCTTTTGTGGCTCTCTTTATTCCCGATTTCCGAAGCGAACTGCAGGGTCACCACAGGCTGGCTAGACAGGCAGAGCCGCAGAAATATACTGAACAGATAGAGGTGCTCACCTGAGCTCTATCCCTCAGTACCTCAAAGTCAGCTTGGGAGAGGAACTGATTATACAGCACACCTAGGAGGGGAGAATGTAGCATCAAGCTGGAGGGATCTGTTCTGCAGACCACAGACATCTCATACAGTTCCAAAAGCATGCATTACAATTTTACACACAATAAGGAAAATTCTGAAAAGGTACCAGAAGACAATATCAAAGAAGACTAATACCTATACATACTACAGAGGAGTGTTTGGAAATTATATTTTGTTTCTGGTGTGATGGATACTGTTCAGGGCAGAAGTACAACCACAGACAATATTTTCACTTTCGTGCTGATGCCCCTTCATTAGGATCTGGGTAAAGGACACATCTGCTGACTTAGGCAAGCACTGAAGAACGGCGAGTTACCACAGTGAAAAGGACATGACCTCACACTGTAAAATATCACACCTTGCAGAAGAAACTCTGCATTAAACAGCACAGGCATAAGAACATGGGAAAAAACACACACACAGCCCCTGTGCTGGAAACTTCAACTACACGTGTGTGAGGAACGTGGCCGTCACACAGACACCCTTACCTTCCGTGAATGACAGCCGGTCACGTTCCAGCTCCCAGAGTCTGATCTGGTCTGTGATGGTGGGTGGGAGAACTGGGGTCTGACAGAGGCAAGAGGAAAGGGACAGGGGACTCAGTTTAGGTCCTTACACAGTGGAGGCATGTGAAGGACGATAACAAAAATCAGACACCTGTTTTAGCATGACGGGGTGAGCTCGCGTCCTCAGAAAGTGGATAATCTGAAAGCCACAGAGAGCAGAAACAATCATAATCAATACGAGAACACGGGAGTACAGTAAGTATCTGCTTTCAGCCTTATACCCATGGAAGAGGCTCATATTCATGATCAGGTATTATTTTTAGCATTGTAAGTAATACATGACCGCACACTGAATGACAAATGCTGCATTCTGGCTGAAATATGTACGCAGATCACCTTCTCGTCCCAGAATTGTTTACTTTTAGGTTAGGGGTCAGTCAGCAGCACTGATTAGTACTGCTTCTGACGCTGACAGATTACATGTGATCAGTTTGCTTTGTGGACACCTGCCCCCATCCCAGCACACGTGTTACCTGCTGCGCAGTGATGCCGTTGGCTATGGCCTGCTGTACAGATTCCCTGGTGATGTGGGCCACCACCACATTGGGGAAGCGGTAGAGCATCTCGCTGAACAGGGCCACCAGGGCAATCTGCAGCTCCGAGTCTGCGGAGAGGGCATATGAAGCGTGGAGGGCTGTTAGCATGAGCTAGTGGCTCATGCCAGTTTTACTTACACAAAAATGTTGAGGGTAGAAGGAAAAATGATTGATTCAGGGAGATAACCATTCAGATTGTGGGGGGGGGGGGGGTCCAAGCAACCAAGATATCTGATTGGTTGGTCCCGTCTCCTCTAGTTGCTTGGACCCACCTCCGCTATAATCTGATTGGTTCTGTCTCCAACCAATCATTTTTCCTTCTGCCCTCAGAACATTTTTGGTGTCACTGACATTAATGAACACACACTGGCTGGATACGTCCTTGTGTCTAGCCACACTGTGTTTTTTTGCACAGTCATGTGATTCTGCACTTTAAGTATTGTGAAAACCTTCCCCCTGTCAATGCTGTTGCATCTTGCACCATAGTCCTGGGAGAACATCAGTTTGTCTTGGTATGACAATGAAGCCCATTTGATTTTTTTCCCTGGGTGAAGACATAATACTCTTCATATTGTCTAGCCACAACTCCAAAGCTGAAGGCGTGAATGCCACGGCAGGCACACTGCAGGGCCGCGCACATCACAGCGCATTCAGAAGGCCCCGGAAGGGGTTTTAATGTAAGGAACGTCCTCTGAATGACTCGAGGCTTCTCTAAATATAAACACCACACAGGGGGAGAGGAAACGCAGTGCGGTCACATGACACAGATAACGAGCACGCACTTGTGTAAGCGTAAATGCGGTAATTGGTTTCCACGACGATAAAACCGGAGTCGCCGGTCCCGGGTGTGAGGCTCGTGGTGGGGGCGGAGGCGGTGTTGGCCGTGACCCCCGCTGCCAGGGTGATGGCCAGCCGCGTGGGATAGTACCGCCGGGACTTCCTCTGATGGAGAGACAGGAGAGCGTTTGTTTAAGCTCCACCTTTCCTGCCCTCTCTCTCCCCGGCTCCTGCTCGCCCTTCTTTATTCAACATCCGTTCGTTAATTTCATTTGCATACTGCGCACAGAGGTTAGCTAAATAAAAACCCAAGTTCTACTTTCAGTCAGTGGGGGGAACAAACTCAGAAGAGAGACTGAGAACAGCCAACCCCCCCCCCATTCATTCAACCCCCCCTCCCAGCTTTGTGGGCAATTAAACGTGCCAAGCTCATTGACGCTCAGGTGTGCTGAACATGCTGGGACACAAAGTGTAAACAAGCTCAGCTCCTAAATAGGAAAGTACTTTCCATAAAACTAAGGTGAGTCTCCAGCCCTCCCCACCCCCACCTTCCTCTGGAAGACGAGCCCAAACTCGCGCAGGTGCTGCAGGAAGGTCAGCAGGGACTCGCTCATCCCCTCCACTGAGTAATCCTGGTACAGAGACAGAGAGAGAGAGAGAGAGAGAGAGAATGAAGGATGGATGGAAGGAAGGAAGGAGGGAGACAGGAAAGAGGCACTCGCACACTATGGAGGAAAGTGAAGGTTCTCATATCTTCCTTATACAACCAAAACTGTCACAATAAAAAATGTGACAGTCAATAAAGACAACTTATCCCATTTTCTGTAATCCAGCCCATAAATTACCCACAAAAAAATGCATACCCATCCCTGCCAAAAAAAAAACATAAGCAATGTATTTGGTGCGTCATTCTTTGTGCACAAAAGCAGGCTCACTCGTGATTCCTGACTGGGATTAGTGTTTCATTAAAAATAAAATCACATAAATCTTGCCCAAGCAGCAGCAAATCAGCTCCAGCCAAATGAGTCATATGACCCTACCGACCAATCAGAGGCCTCTGCGCTGAAGGCTCCGCTCTCAGTGGCAGGAGCGAAACACATGGTAATAACATTCGTTATTTATTACTATAATGTCGGGTTATATTTACCCTTCCAAGAGTAGAGAAGCTGAGCTGGAACAAAAAGGACAGAATTTCCACCAAGTCCATCCCTCTGGACTGAGAAAGAGAGAAAGACAGACATAGGTTAAGCTGTTTTACATTCATATAAACCTGGTCATACATGAATTATAGATTATCAAGTATACAAGTACATGCATGCATGACTGGCTGGCTGGCGATGTACTTAAATACAGCACATAAATGCCAGCCTGCTCTGGTCATGATTAACCGTAGGCAGAGACCATCACCGGAACCTCATAGACATATATAACAAAAGTGGCATCGACAGAACCCAGTCCATCACTCATAACCTGTCAAACGGCCTGTTCACCCCCTTACATCCAGGAAAAGGTCCCAGAGCATCCTGCCCACCAGCACCACCAGACCTGTCAACTCCCACCTACCCCATAAACTCGGGTGACCAGATAATCCATGTCAGGGAGGACTCTTAGATTTAGGACAGGATTCATAAACTACCATTTGAATTAAAAGGACCTGGATTTCACTTTAGCACAGAGTTCTTGCTGTGTGCCGATTGGTCAGTCTTCTATAATCATGCACGTGTCACTAATGTTAATGTGGAACAGCTGGTTGAGTCTTTCAATCGAGGAAACAAACCAGTAAAAGCATAAGAAGAACTGAACTATTTAGCCAAGCACAGAAGCCTGTCAGTTATAAAGTCATTTGTAAACATGAAGTAGCTTCCTGGCATTGGATTATCTGGTCACCCTATCGTAAATGCTGAAAAATGCTCAGTTGCACTACATTATTTCTATTATGTATGTGAGGGATTGAGGACAGACCTGCGCCGTTTTCAGGTACTGCAAGGTGAAGTACCACAGCTGGGATGCAGTATCCAGAAGCAGAAACTGAAACCCCGCCGAGGTGATGCACGGGGCTTCTCCGGCCTCGCTGTCAGGGAGGGAGGGAGCGAGGGATTACAGCAGGATTACGCATCAGGAGCCTGGGCCCCGTTAGGGTCCGGGTGGGGGGCGGTACCTGCGCATGAGCCCAGCCTGTATGAGGAGCTGGGCCAGGTCCTGGCTGACGGCCGCGCTCGGCGAGCCCACCATGAAGTGCAGGATGACCTCCCAGCGCTCCAGGGCGTAGCGATCCAGGCTGTCCACATCCCGCGCGTGCCGGTCAGGGCCCAGGCTGCTGCCCTCGTCTGCCCACGCCTTGCCCCTGAGCAGAGAGGCCACCATTATACACCTCCCCAGCTCCTACCACACTCAGAAAGGGGACAATTATCTATAACCTGCAGCATTCCACATTCTGATATCTACAGTTTCCCCTTCAGACACTGTACTGCTTTCATTCGGTAATCGCTGGATTCTTCTTGTAACTACGCTATTGGATGATTAACGCTGCCCCTGTTCACACCGTAACATATATTAATCACTGAGAGGAAAGGAAAATATCCACCTATCTGTCTATACATTCACATTGGTATGTTTAGCAGATGATTTTGTCCAAAACGACATAGAAGTGAGGCAAATATAAATATGGGCTGGGGGTGGCATGGTGGTGCAGTGGTCACACCTCTGGGCCCCCCCCCCCCGCGACCCAGAAGGATAAGCGGTTTGGAAAATGGATGGATGGATGGATAGATACATAGGGCTGTCAAGGATTCAACTAAGTGCAGCTAGGCTGAGCTTCCAATGAATACCCAGGAACAAGTGTACAAGCAGGAGCTACACAGCCACGTCTTATAAATCAAGAACCTATTAGAACTATACAAGAGACAGAAATGCAACATTAGAACATTCAGGGAGCAGGTTAGTAGAGGACTCAACACCTGAATATCTAGAACTGAACACTAACACAGCTGTAAGGTGTGTAAGATCTAGGATATAGATATTCCTGCTGTAAGCGAGATGAAAGCTGGCCTGACTGGACATCCCTCAAGTACAGCATATCATTTATTAATAACCACATGCTGAATATATCTCTTTATAAAAGGATTAAAGGATTCCCAGGTGGGGGAGGAGACAGGAGGCACTGAGAGGTAACTCACCCCCCCAGCAGCGCCACCCGCAGGTTGTCCTTGAAGATGGGATTGAGGATGTTCCCCTGCAGCCCCCCCTGCAGCTGCTGGCCGTGCCAGAGTCGGAGTCCGGACAGCACCGACACGCACTGGTCATGCTCCCTGTGACAGGGTGGGGGGGGATCAGGTGGAGCTTTCAAACACTAAAGGCAGGGGCAGAACTGGGCGGGGCAAAGGGGCAAACAGCCCTGGGCCCCAGAAGTCCAGGGGACCCTACTGATCTGGACTATTTTTTTTTTTTCATTTTTTAGTAACAAACCACACAGATCAAACATCCACTCCAATCCATTCATATAGCAATTTGGGTTAATATAATCTATAATATTTTAGTATTGGATTGTCAATCCACTGGCATTATACACCCTCCCCCAATCTGCAGATTTTACTGATGTCACTGCCCCCCCAGACAGTAAGCTTTACCGTGGACAACCCACAACACCTGCACATTAGGAAGGCATGTCCTGCACATTCTCCACTCAAGATCAGAGGCTCAGTTGTGGAGATTGTGGAGAGCACCAAGCTCCTTGGGGTGCACATCACCGAGGAACTGACATGGACGACCAACAGCACCTCCCTCACCAAGAAAGCCTAGCAGAGACAACACTTCCTGCGGCGGCTGAAATGAGCGAGCCTTCCCCTCCCATCCTCACTACGTTCTATAGAAGCACCATTGAGAGCGTTCTAACCAGCTGCACCACCGTCTGGTACGGAAACAGCAGCGTTTCCCGTTTCCGATCGCAAGCGCCTGCAGAGGATAGTTAGGACAGCCGAGAATATCATCGGGGTGCCTCTGCCATCACTACAAGACACATTCAGCACAAGGAGTGTTTGAAAAGCCTGCAGCATTGTGCAGGACCCCTCACACCCTCACATGAACTGTTTACCCTGCTGCCATCCAGGAGGAGATACTGCAGCATCACAGCCAGATCGGCCAGGCTGCACGACAGTTTTCATCCCCAGGCTGTCAGGCTTCTCAACACCATGCTGCCCCCCAGGGCCCTCCAATCTACCTCAACCCTCATCTAACTCAACCCTCTCCTAACTCAACCCTCTCCTAACTCATCCCCTCTCCTAACTCACCTACACTGAACCTACACTATTTTCCTATTTTTTTTTACATTTTAAACTGATTCTGCTGATACATATATGTCCTCTGATATCATACTTATATCACACGTAGTTATACTGTATTTTCACACATATCATACTGTATTTGCACAAAAAAATCATATTGCACTTTTGCACTTTGCTTTCGCACCAGAAAGCTCTGAGCGTTTACTGCACTTTACTTAAAATGCTTCTCAGCTCATTTGCACTCTTTTTGTCTCAGTATCTCTTACTTACACTCTGTGTAAAATTCAATCATATGTATATCTGTGGATTCTGAGCTTTGCCATCTCATTTTTTTCCGTTTACTTGTATATGGAAAGATGACAAAGTTCACTTTGACATTATTGATGTTCATATCAATTTTACTTTCCTCTCAACTCTACACAAAAAAAAACTTAAATGGCCCACCACCCTAAAGATCACGTTCGGATTTCCAAGGTGGGGGCAGCACTCACTTCTGACTGTCCTTCTTTACCCAGAGGGCAATGGCGGCCTGAGGGAGGGGCTGGTCCAGAAAAAGCATCCGCATCACATAGTTCTTCGCCAGTGGGGGGAGTTCCCTGTCACACAGCGGGAGGCAAGCGGAGACAAAGGATCAAGTTCACTCTCAAACTGTAACTGTTTAATCGATTTTCATATCCGCTTATCCAACAAAGGAAGCACTGGACACAAGGAAGAGGTGCCCCTTGGATATGATGCTAGACCATCTCAGGGCGGGCAGACACACACACACACACACTATAGGCAATTCAGAGAGACCTTTAGTTGGTCTGCATGAAGAAAAAAGTACCCAGCAAACTCCACACACAGTACAAACTAGGCAAGCCCACTTTTTAAAAAAATCCTTCACGTCTTTGATCACATTACATGCACCAATATGTAAAAGGCTGTATAAACATCCACTGACATACTGCTACGAGGTTTATGGCATTTTCTGTGGTTTTTAATGGTGAACGTGTCCTGGTATTATCATACATGTCCTTACGAAGGTATACACGTCTGTAATACCGGCAAGATGCTGTTACTGCTACAAAGAGCGCGGTGTCTGTGTACAGTACCTGTACACCGCCAGGCATGTGGCCGGATGATTGTACAGCCGGTCCAGGATGTCCGGACTCAGCTCCCTCAGGTACTCATGAAGGTTCTTACACTGCAATTGCACCCGCAACTTCATCTCTAAAAACAAGACAGAAGTTTAGAAGTGTCTTCACTAATCCTAATAAAGGATACGCACTTTATGGTAAATTCTTAACCAAAGACCATCGGAGACCTGCAAAATCTTGAGTATTGCTATTACACGCTGATTTACATGTTACATTTTTAAAACAAAGTAATACTGATAATCACTAATTACAGTGAGTTGCTGGCTAAGCCGGTATCAACAATAAACTCCTTAAATATTTTTAGCATAGGACACGTAGGGACTGCTCAGAGCAATTGATTTACCGTAACCATTGGTGTGTGAACAGCAAGGAAATCAATCGTGTCGAAAAACAGACATCAGAAGTTATAATCGCGCTTTTCATCGTTCAAGCGTACAGCTGCGAGGAAGCCATGTTGGACAGTCACGTGACCAGCGTTTGCGCACGTGCAGCTTCCAGGCGGTTCTCTGGTGCATATATTAAGTTCAAATGAATCTGTTTTACAGTTATTTGTAAGTACATGAGAAATCCAGTTGAAGCTGTTTAACGTCTTTTTATTTTTTAATTGACATTTTAATTTTCTAATGTACTTAAATTGTCATGCAAGTAATGCTTCATATTTATCCATTAGCTAGTTGAAATACGGCAAAGCGATCTCTGTGGAAATACTCGTACAAATAATTCAGCTTCTCTAGGTTTATCTTCATCTCTAGAAATATTCAAACTATCTGCTTTTCCAAAATCATGTTTACCTATTTTTAATGCGTAGTAGTGGTTGACATTGCAAATATTGTATGATGAACTAGTTTTTGCAACGATATTAATTCATTCTAATTCCCTAAGTTTACTTCCCAACAAGCACCCCATCATCAAAAAATTCAGTTCAGACACTCAGTATATGATTTATTCATACACTGATGATTAATCATTTAAAAAGATTAAGCTCTCCTTCAGTTAATCGTTTAACAAGGATAATGAATAAAATTATCATAGATTCATAACTTTAAAATTTTTATTTTGACAACTGAATTATTCATTTTTCATACACCTATTATACAAAATTTACACAATGGAATTTTAATTACATAATCATTTAGCTATATATTCATAAATGACAGAGCACTCCCTGCATTACCCATTTCTTGCTGGTAAGTCTTGCTTTACAATAATTTTACACCTTGACTATCATCTGAAAAAAACATAAATCACAATAAAAAAAGGAACATGCAGAAAATGGAAAAAAAAAATCTTTGAAGTCTTCCCAAGATCTCCTCAGGAATCTTCTTTTTCTTGATATCTGGAGTAAAAACAAAAATATCAGCAGCAGCATCACACACATAGTCAATGGAATGGAAACTCTGCACCATCTCATTTGTATACAAAACACTTTACTGCACCCAAGTCACCGTTGCTGCAAACTGCTCTCACATTTCGAGGTTAGTGGGTTCATGGGTGGTCTTGCATGATAAGAACACTATCCGATTCAAGAACATCATCTTCCCCCTTGCCATCTACATCATGAATAGCTGGATTTGAACCACTGCGATATTACTTGAATCAGTTATTCACCAACAGCCTGACAACGAACTTCAGTTACACAACTAGCATTTATAATATAGCATATTCTGGTCTATATAATAGGTGCTTTGCTATTGGAGGAGTGAACCCCCCCCCATACACGTGTGAATAACATGTTTATTCCGTGCATCAGTAGAGGGAGCTGGGCCAGTCAAACCATCAAGTGATATAGGAGGATGCTTAGGGCGCCATCTATTGTGTAGATGCAGATTTCACTTTGTCTCAGATAGGGGGCACCGGTGGTGATGCCTGCCCAGAGCACCACATGGGCTTTGCCTGGTACTGAGAGGGCATGTGCATGGCATAGGTGCCTTTCAGTACCTGCAATGTGTACATGTGTAGAAGACAGTCTGTCCTTCATCTGCAGACCTCATCTGCCGGGTGTGATACACCATCCCCTCTTTACTGCAGCGCGAGCAGCGCCTGTCAATCTGAAAGAGAAGTTTCAGAACTGATTAGGCTACAGATTAATGGAAAGGAGAGCAGGTCAAAAAAAGACCTTTTGGTCAGCTGTTCAAACCCAGGTGCAAGAACTCTTCAGCAAATCAGCCATTTAATTAGTAATCTAACTGGAGAGTTGCAGCAAAAATCCGCACACCCAAAGACTTTCTGGATAAGATAGTCCACCCCTGCTCTAGTTCATCACAGGTTGTACATTCACACAAAATAACACACAACAGGCAATTCACAGCTATGTTTGGTTAGTGGGAAAATTGGAAGAAGCCCAGAAAAACGAGAACATCCTATATTGAACCCCCACCCCCAGAAGCTTGAGAATACTGGAGCCCCCACTGAGCCACCCTGCAACCAATATTTCCTATATTTCCACACAAAATAACCCCCCTGGATAATGACTTACCACTGGGCCCTTCAGTTCCGAATCCTGCTCAGATTCTTCCTTGACTGACGATTTTTCTAAACTATTGAACACCACTGTGGATGTAATCACTTTACCTGCAAATTCTTAAATAAAAAACAGGCTATATTATGTCCATGGATAAAAGATTATATATAACACTTGTTGTACACACTAATGAATTAGTGAATATACAGGTGCTGATCATTTATTTATCTTCAGACGTTTCTCACCATTTATTGGTATTGTGAATTGACAGCGGGGGCAGGTTACTGTGTCTGATAGTCCAGGCAGAGGGAGAACATTTCCGCACTCGCTGCAGAAATTGTAGTCTCCACTAAAACAAGACATCACTGACAGAAAAAAGAACATGAATATATTCCAAATATTATTATAACCAAATAGTTTAACAAATCATACACATGTTGTATTGGTTACAGTATGAATTAGCCTACAGCAAGTCTTTTCCAAAGAAATGATTGGACACACAAAGCCATATTTATATTTTACATTTTTCTGGCTACCTGAACTCATTATGAATATCAAAATGCAATTAATCATCATAAGGACGTAGAAGAAATAGCAAAAATACCCATAAGCCAAACTTTTTCCTGTGAGTGAAATACAAACAACCGTCAAAAACAACTTATCTGTCTGCAATTTTTGGCAAATTAATAGTGTCGTCTACACCGAAGAAGCATATGTTACTTACCAAAGCCAACTTTCTCGTTTCAATCAATGCGAAAACGTAGTTTTAGAAAAGATTACAGCTATTAGCATGAATCGTATCCGTGACGACAGTAACACGTTTTTCGAGCACGCGTTGTCTACTAAAAATATCGGTGTATCCAGAGTGTCTGTGGCGCCCCCTACCCCAAGAATCGTTAAAAGTCTCAAAAATTGAGTGATGGAAAGCCAAGCCCGTATCAAGCTAATTAAAATTCAAAACTGTTTCACACGCTTATCATCACGCGTCGTTTCCAATGTGTCTTTAACTACTGTCTGTTCGGGTTATTATTCTTAGGCAACATTTACGTACAACTTCCATGGGTCCATCGTCCAAGGCTTTATGGCGCATGTTGATGACGAAACTAGGAACCCAATTCGAGCTGAGCTTCGTGTGTATTTCTGCGTTAGTGTTTCAGGACTAAGGTAAATAATCACTTACTGCACATAAGCAAGTGAATGGATTTATCATTTTTAATTTCAGAACTTTTGCATCCGCGTGTGCGCGCGTAGTATTTATGTGAATGTTATTTGCTGTCTCCACTGCAACCGAACACGCCAGCGGGCAGGGGGCATAAAATGACAAAAATAGCAAAAACACCGCCAATCATTTGTCCCATTAAAGAGAGTCAGTGTCGTTTTTTGGATTTGTTAGTTAGTTGCTTTCTCAGTGATAACCAGCTGATAGATTTTTTTCTCCCCCAAATGTTATCGACGACGCTAGCTGAGCTACATTTAATTTGGTCTTAAATGTGTAGCTCTGGCTAGTACTTATGGTCCAAATTACGGCATGGGTTGACTAGACAAAAACTTATACGTTAAAGTTACATTTTACAGATTTTATGCTGTGTGAGTTGCTTTCAATAAAGAAATTAGACGAAAGTCAAAATTTCCATTGGGTTTCTATATTGTTCAAAACATCGTAGCATCCATATTTCTAACGACGGTGTCTATAGAAAAGAGAACTAACGACAATACAATGAAGGTTATTTAGATAGTTTTTATTGTTACAATTACCGTGATGTAATTTTCATGTAATCGTTTATTAATTACACCAGCTACTTTGACAATGACTGAGAATGACGTGGAAAATGAGCTCTTGGATTATGAGGAAGATGAAGTGGACGGAGGAGGCGGGGTCGGAGATGGGGGCATCGGGGGAACTGGTGGGGACGCTCTCTCACTCCGCAAAGAAGGGCTTAAAGGCTCCTATGTTTCCATCCACTCCTCGGGATTCCGGGACTTCCTGTTAAAGCCAGAGCTCTTGAGAGCCATCGTGGACTGTGGGTTTGAGCATCCCTCTGAAGGTAAGCGCAAAAAAAGTACTGCTCTGTTGCACCTACAGGGGTCGCTGTATTCTGTAGTGAGATATACCAATACCAAAAAACAAATCCTGCAGAAAACTACTGTGTAGTAGTATTTAAAGAAAGTTTATCTGGTGTTTGGCTTTCTTTCCCAGTTCAGCATGAGTGCATCCCTCAAGCCATACTTGGAATGGATGTTCTGTGCCAGGCAAAATCTGGCATGGGAAAGACTGCAGTGTTTGTTCTGGCCACCCTCCAGCAGCTGGAGCCTGTCACTGGTCAGGTAAACAGCCTTGGGATTTAATAATATCCAGTGGCGCTGGAACCTGTAAGATGCCACTTTGGCTCTTTGTTTCATTCTTTTGTGTTGTGTCTCGCAGGTGTCCGTGTTGGTGATGTGTCACACCCGGGAGCTAGCTTTTCAGATCAGCAAGGAGTACGAGCGCTTCTCCAAATACATGCCTGCAGTTAAGGTACTGGGATGGCCCCCCTCTCCCTTCTTTTTGGCCCAGTGCCCCTCTCAGACACTCATTTCACTGCCCATCACCCGCTCTACCAGGTGGGGGTCTTTTTCGGGGGCCTGTCCATCAAGAAAGATGAGGAAGTGCTGAAGAGAGAGAGTCCCCACGTGGTCGTGGGCACCCCAGGCCGAATTCTGGCTCTGTCCCGCAATAAAAGCCTTAACCTGCGTCACATCAAGCACTTCATCCTGGACGAATGCGACAAGATGCTGGAGCAGCTGGGTGAGGATTCTGCTCCTGTGCACAGATCGGCACCCATCCCCCCGCGCTTTACTGGAATTAGTAAAGTTATTCCTGTGCAGTTGACTCAAATGTTCCTTGCACCCACATTTGCATGCCATTGTGAGGCTGCTGCATCAATATTACAGTGATCCACCTGTGATGGTCATGTGACCTCCATGCCTTTGTGATTGGTGGAGAAGGTCATTTACCCAATTTCCAAAAGAGTGTTTTTGCAGTGCATTTTTTTTATTTTGGCGTACACATAACTTCCAGAGCTCCAATGTTTTCTGTTTATTTGAAGAACAAAAATCTCCTTGATATATAGCATCTTTTCTACACTGCAGGTAGCAAAAAATATCTTATTTTATTTTTGCTACCTGCAGTGTAGAAAAGGCATTCGTATCTCAGGCATTTTTTTCAATAATAAACATTTCTCAGCTCTGTAAGGTATGCCATTTCGCATTCAGATGCCAAATTTAATCAAAATCTTCAGCTGTGATGCAAGGGCTATTTATTGAATTAAAATGGGATGACCTGAGAGGAAGAGAAACGTTACAGTTTAGAAATTTGCATTAATTCTTACTGCAACTTTCATTAACCCCTTTATCTCCTTTACTGCCTGTTTTACACTTGTGTTGATTTCAGAGAGCTGGCCTTCATGCTCCTGTGTGCCCTCGGTATTGGCGGCAGCCTGCCCCCGTCTCAGCCACATTTTAACGCTCTCTCCCTCCCCTTCTGCACGCTCACCCCCGTAGACATGCGCCGAGACGTCCAGGAGATTTTCCGCATGACTCCCCACGAGAAACAAGTCATGATGTTCAGCGCCACCCTGAGCAAAGAGATCCGACCCGTCTGCAGAAAGTTCATGCAAGATGTAATTAGACCTCGTCTCCCCTCCCTACCTACTGCTCCTCCCACTACCGTCCTCGTACCCCCCCCCCCCCCCCCCCCCCACCCCCCCCCCCCCCCCCCCCCCCCCCCCCCCCCCCCCCCTACACCCGCCTCATAGAAAAGGAGGAGGGGAGAGAGGTCTATGAGGTCACAGAGTAGCTGTGAGGGAGCAGACCACTCTGAGAGCGGGGTGCAGTCTTATTTTCGGACATCAAAATCCGAGCGTTCAGAAGCCAGGATCAGAACACATTTATGCCCCCCCCCCACACACACACTAATGACACACTCTGCATGCCGTGAAGTCGCATGCGTGTTGGGGGGTCGACATACTGGGCACTGCACACTGGCTGATGCTGCATGAACTGCTCATTGGCAGATGCCTTACGGAGCTGATAGACACACACAGCCCCACTCTGTCAAACATGACCCCAAAAGGCTGAAGGGTGACGTCTGGCCTTTAGCTTCGCCTTCCCCAATCCCCAGGCTAAATTGGCACTTACTGCAACAATGTAAAAACTATCCACTCCCTAAAGATGGTGAACACAGTGCTTATAATACTGAACCAGCTTAACACCAAAATGGATTAGATGGCAGGCTCAGATACACAGTGCTACTTTAGCGTAAAACTTCACTCGTACCGCGATCCTCACCAGCTGCTCAGAGTCGGGCTCTAAGCCAGAAGCAGTCATACAGAGATTTTTTTGGAGGGTTTTTGAAAGGCCTCTGCAAAGCGACCCGAGACACACTTGATTTTTAAAATAGACCTCTTGTCACACACAGTTATCTGAGTATAGCAATAACATTCCTTCCATCCTGTTATTTCTGCTGACAGAAAATGACCGTAATGCAAGAAGGCAATTCGCTGTCTGAATATGAAACCCGTAACATTACAGCAAGCTCTTGGTTAATAGGCATAGAAAGTTTTATATTTTGGAGGCAAATATGGGAGCCTGATGACTCGGAGGTCTGTGTATGAAAAACAAAATGTTACCAAAAAAAGAAAAGGGCAAACAAGTGAGAGGGGGGGGTACAGACACGTTTAGCTGCATATCTGAGGTATCTTACATGGCTGCCAAGGCCAGTCACCCCACAGACCCAACATGCCCCACCGAGAATGAGCGCCTGTGATTGGAGCGAGTTCTCGGTCTGCAGACGTAGACAAGACGCGCGCGGGTTCAGGGAACCACTCCCAGCATGGCAGGGAGGGCTGAGCTGCGGAAGACCTGAGCGGGAGGGACGAGATGACGGAAAAAGAGAAGCAAAAGACACGAGAGAATGGAGAGGAGAGGCGCGGGTGCAGATAGGGTTGAAACGAAGCCCTCCGAGAAAATCATCCAAAAACAAGTTCCCTCTTTGCAGATCTGTACCCAAAAGCCAGTTCGCTGTATAAAGGAAGTCTTGAAGTTTCAGGAAATCATTGGCAGATGCACAGCACTCATCCTTTCCCTCAATAATGCATCATGATGCAAGCCAGCCCATTTAAATTAGTACTCAGTCACATAACTCTTTAGATTAGGTGAAATACTGCTAAAGTTATTTTCTGACAAGTACACAGAAATCAAGTTTACCCACTGCTATATCATGCATTTTTACATGTTTGATTCTGCTGGACACACACACAGAGGAGAGGTTCATGGAAACACTTAGCGGACAGCCACTAGCTAAGTTAGCGACTCTTCACATGCTTATTATGGTTTAAAACAAATTCTTGTGTATGCCTGCCTTACATCAGACTTAACTCCAGAGCGTAACTCCATACCCCAGACACAGACTAGATGCTCCTCACTGCATAGGTGGACACATTCCTGTACAGACATTATAGGAGATGAAAATCGTACTCTGGACTGCCCTCACCAACTGCCAGATTCACATTAGCGGGAAGAATCTCAGTGAAGCCTGAGCCTCCTGCACGACTGATCTTGGATCAGTTTGTGGCAGGATGAGGATTACCTGAATACAGTTCAGAAAAGAGGGCTGTGAAGAGTAGTTAGGCTGGAATGAGGACTTTGACTTGGAGGAACTTGATATGATGCCAGACTGAAGTTTAGATGACGGACAGGAGGATGGGACAGACCTCCAGAGGCACTTTCAGACAGTGAGACGCACAGTGAGTGCCTAGGACATTTCTTGACTGATTTTTTGCAGTAGGTAAGTGAATGTTCCTTGTTTAAGTTCTAAGGAGATCACATGACTTCAGGCCCCCGTGGATGGGGCTAACCCTGGCATTTGGCCATGATTTTGAAGGCCACACCCATGGTTGTTCTTTGGCGGGAAAAAAGAACAGTGTAGCCTCACTGCTTTGGCTTAAGGGAGAAGACAAGATGACTTGTAACCATAAATCCATTGTAAAGCTGTGGACCTGATCCAGTGCTCTCTCTAAGGTGACTCTGTTAGGGAAACATGGACAAAATATCGATGTAATGTGATTTAATAAGGTACATTTAAACCAAAATGGTTCTTTAATGCAACTAATTAAAGCCTGGAATACAGTGTAATTTTATAATCTGTGCTGTGGCTCAGACATTGCAGGCCTTGTGTGCTGGTGTTTGTCCAAACAGCTCTAATTACTTAATGTTCAGTAGCTATTTGCTGAACGGATCTGCACAATTAAGTTAAACTAAACATCTTGGCTGGGTTTTTTTAAAAATTTGTGTCAGTTTCATGTTGTGTGCAGAAAAGATGTGTAAATAGATTTTAATTTTTATAAAATACCTTTGGTTTTATAATTCCCTGTGAAGGGTTGGCGCCCCATCCTGGGTTGTTTCCTGCTTTGCACCCATAGCTTCCGGGATGGGCTCCGGACCCCCACCACCCTGCATAGGATTAGCAGGTGTAGGAAATATAGAAAATGGATGCAGGGTTTTATATTGAGACAAGCCCCGATCAATTTGTGTTGGAATGAATATATAGAATTATTATTTAAAACAAGAAGACTTTTGATTTTGATTTTTTTTTTTTTTTGAGGAAAAATAAATAGGTTTTCATTCTAGTACAGGGCTCTTCAAATCTGGACCTCGATTCCAAATCCAGGCCTTGTTTTCAGTTCCCCGAGGTAGTTGTTTAATAATTACTGATTCTGATTGGTCAGAGGCTTCACACCTGAATCACAGGTAAAGAAAGCCTGGAAAACCAGCAGTGCTCGGACCTCGAGGACCGTGATTTGAATAATATGGTTCTAGTACCTCATAAGTATATTAATGTTCAAAACCAGCCAAGTGTCATATGCTGCCTGAGACCAGGATAAGTAATTAAATGTAGAGGTGGAAAGTCCAGGTTCAGAAAGTAAAAATCCAGACCAAGATTTTATTTCAACCAACCAGTACCCATTATACTCAAGTGGTTGGCTGAAACAAAATCTTGGTATGGATTTTTACTTTCTGAACCTGGACTTTCCACCTCTGGTTATATGATGGATGGATATTAAAGTTAACTAACTTGATGTGTGTTCTTCAGTCAAATAAGAATTGATGGCTTTCAGTTTCGCCTGATTTTAAATCGATAATTCAGTCTATCCCTGTCAAGATGAATTCAGGACCAGAGTAGAAATAAAAATCTGTCTAATCACTACACTGATCAAATGCAACCTCAGTCTAAACTCATATGGCTGTGTTATGATTTTATATCAGCAGATCCCTTCATGTTCATCCTGGTTAGATGGTTGTAAGCTGCAGTAAATGATACATGATTTATTTTCTAAAGTAATACAATGATACTGCTTGTGTGTAATTTCCAGAAGAACAGCTGCCAGTATTTTGTAGTCTCGCACAATTCCCTCTGAGCATTTCCCTGTTATTTAACCTTTTTATGGGATTAGCTGGGAAGGTAGATCATGGTTTCATAAACATTTGTAGTTTGGGTTCATTTTTCCCCCAAAGAACACCCAGAGGTGTTTCAGAAATGAAGAGCTGATCAGTAACTTGGCAGTGAATCGGTGTGCAGGTTGTTAAATGAGGAACTGTGGTGGTGAATTAGTGAATTTGTGTGATTATCTAAATTGCCACAGAAGAAAAATAAATGATTGGTAAAAAAAAATAAAAAATAACCGATTAGATATAGCTGTCATAACTTGCACAGCTTCTGTAACCTGCTCTGGTGCTTATGTGAGTTTTTATGTTCGTTTGTGATATTTTTTGTGGTGTGTTGACATGCACACGTACAGTAGAGTTTCTCAGTCTGCATGCTATGTGTGTGATGCGTTTGTTATCTTGGTGTTGACAGTTGTGTGTGATAATCCCGCCAGATTCCTTTTGCAGGCAGGGAGGGGCGTGTGTTCTCTAACCTTCATCCCTCTCTCCCTACCTTTCTCTCTTCTCCTCCACCCATCACATCCATCGCCATGGATCCATGACTCTCATTCTCTCCTCTTCTTCCGACCCCTTCATTGGTTAATAACTCCCATCATTTCTCATTGCACCCTTCCTAACGCAAACCCACACCACACACACACTTTCCATACCTGTGCATATTCCCCCAATCCCTCTCCTGCACACCTCAGCCAATGGAAATCTTTGTGGACGATGAGACCAAGCTAACCCTGCATGGGCTGCAGCAGTACTATGTCAAGCTGAAGGACAACGAGAAGAACAGGAAGCTCTTTGACCTGCTGGATGTGTTGGAGTTCAACCAGGTAACGGGGTGGGGAGACCCTCCTCCTCAGGTCATGTTTTGTTGCACCATTTCTGAAACCAAGTGGACTGGGGTTGTTTAACAGTCTTCAGTCTTCCTGACTCCAGAGGTGGAAAGTTCAGGTCCAGAAAGTACAAATCTGGACCATGATTTGACTTCAACCAACCAGTTGAGTATAAGTTGTTACATTCACAGTATACTGGTTGGTTGAAACAAAATCCTGGTCTGGATTCATATTTCCTGGACCTGACGTTTCCACCTCTGGTCTCAGGAAATCCCAGGGAAGACTGACGACTCTTAAACAACCCCACTTCACAGAGTACTCAATTGGTTGGTTGAAACAAAATCTTGGTCTGGACTTATACTTTCTGGACCTAAACTTTCCACCTCTGCATGAGACCAACATGTAGTGTGGTACTTAAGGGTATGTCCCTGTCACTACACTGGGGCATTGGGGTCCACACAGACCACAGGATGGGCTACCCTCCTGGCCAGTGCCCCCATCACTGCACTGGGGCATTGGGGTCCACACAGACCACAGGATGGGCTACCCTCCTGGCCAGTGCCCCCATCACTGCACTGGGGCATTGGCGTTGTAACCAGCTGCTTCAGCTGAGGCCATAAAAAGGTTCAACAATGGGGAAAAATGATGCCGACAAGTTACTAAGCGACCAGACATATAAATGCCCCATAAGCAGCTGTGTATGCTAATAAGACTGTGTGTTCAACTCCTGGACTTGAGATCCCCCACCCACCAAGATGGCTTTGATGGTTTTCTTTAAAACATAAACTGATGACTTCTCTGCATCATTATGCTGAAATGCTTCTGCGTGTAAGTTAAATTAATATAAGCCATGATATGTGTAATGATCTTAACACTGCCTGTGCTTCTTGATGTCCCTGAACATATACAGAGAAATAACCTAGTTTCTGTAGTTAGGGAAGTAATTTAGGCTGAAAGCACCATCTGCTTTCACGGCACAAGCAGCACCGTAGCCAGAAGTCGGCAGAGAATGTGATGAAATTTATGGCTCATAATTCTCTGGTAGCCTGGAAACAGGGGTTTCAGGCAGTCATGAGGTAGGAGTTGTGGATAAGATGTTCACGATGTTTGGAGCTTCAAGCATTTCAGATGCAGTCAGTGCACAGCGGCTAACTAGAAAAATAAGACTGTGAGTGGAAATGCTAGATATACAAAGCTGTCAGATAGGATGCAGACCGGCAGAGCCCGTGGGTGCGTGTTGAGGGTAAGGAGGACGTTCCTCTGACCGTGGTTCCTTGTGCCAGGTGGTGATCTTCGTGAAGTCGGTGCAGCGCTGCGTGGCTCTGGCCCAGCTGCTGGTGGAGCAGAACTTCCCGGCCATCGGCATCCACCGCGGCATGCCCCAGGAGGAGAGGTACCGCCAGCCGCTGTCTGCACGTGCCCCTTTTGTGCATTGTCCCCGCGGCGCTCCTCTGTAGAGCCATTGTGTACGCTCTTGCACCCCTTACGTCTCCGTGGAAACCGGCCTCCCGCCCTTCACGTGGTCGATGCGTTAAGAAACGAGCCGTTGTTTGGACCCGGAAGCTGTAGACGCTCGTTAACTTTGCAGTATGTGAACAAGTTCCTCCCTTTATGCGACCCACCACCCCGCTGCAGGCTGGCCCGATACCAGCAGTTCAAGGACTTCCAGCGGCGAATTCTGGTGGCCACCAATCTGTTCGGCCGTGGGATGGACATCGAGAGAGTCAACATCGCCTTCAACTACGACATGCCAGAGGACTCGGACACCTACTTACACAGGGTAACACGCTGGCCTCAATCAGCTGGCCCTCATTGCGAATGTACACACAGAATCTGTACCGAACAGAACATGGACGGTATAAACAATGGAGTTTTAAAGGCAGCTTTTACAATGATGGAGGATGTGTGATTCCCAAAGTCTGAGGACCTCAGGAGGGTATAGGGAGGGTGTGTGATTCCCAAAGTCTGAGGACCTCAGGAGGGTATAGGGAGGGTGTGTGATTCCCAAAGTCTGAGGACCTCAGGAGGGTATAGGGAGGGTGTGTGATTCCCGCAGTCTGAGGACCTCAGGAGGGTATAGGGGGGGGGTGTGTGATTCCTGCACTCTGAGGACCTCAGGAGGGTATAGGGGGGGGGTGTGATTCCTGCAGTCTGAGGACCTCAGGAGGGTATCCCATGTCACCATCCAGGTGGCCAGGGCGGGCCGGTTTGGGACCAAGGGCTTGGCCATCACGTTCGTGTCCGATGAGAACGACGCGCGCACGCTGAACGACGTGCAGGACCGCTTCGAGGTCAACATCAGCGAGCTCCCCGAGGAGATCGACATCTCCTCCTACAGTGAGTGACCCCACCCAGCCGGGCCACATTCCGGCGGTGCAAGCCCAGCCCATTTGACTCAGTAACACGGGGGGGCTGTACTTCTGTCTAGGAACCAGCAAAATATAAACAAGATTACCAGGACAGCAGTGGGTCCTCGGGGTAATGCATTTGATTAAAAATATATTTAAACTCTCATAGTCATATGGGTATCTAAATTCAGAAACTGTTAGTGAAGTGTCAGCATATTGCTGTGGTGTACAGATCTAAGTATGATGAACGTGTAGGGAAATGCATGCAAATCATTGGCCCAGTTTGCATAAATAAGTAACTGAGCAGGTTACATAATCCCAGTAGACCACTGGTGGAAATAATAAAAAGCACCCTTCTCCACAAAAAATAACCCAACCAATGCTAGGATTAGAGCTGAATGTTCATAAGAGACGTGAGAATGTTTGATGTCGTAATAAAACTGGTTGGACTTGAAAGGCTTAGTGTTGACACAGTCTGTTTGTGTGTCTGTTGCCTGTTACGATGGTGTAATTGATAGTAGTTGGAGCAAGTTCCCTGCTATTGTTCTGTGCAAATGTGCAGTGAACGGCCTCTCAACACAGCACTTAAGCTCTGCCCTGTCGTCTGAGGGTGTCTGTACACCAGGGTGGGAAATCCAGAAAGGGCCGCTGTGTTTGTGGGTTTTCGTTGCAACTCCCTAATTAGATTACTAGAGGACTGATTGGCTGAAGAGTCCTCACACCTGGGTTTGAACAGCTGACCTAAAGGTGACCCCAAAAACCTGTATACACACTGGCCCTTTGCAGATAAGATTGGCCAGGATTGCTATAAACATTCAAAAGCTGAAAGTGTAGAGGACTGAATCAGCAACATAACGACTTCCTGTGAGGTGTTGGCATGTTACACAGTTGCCTGTGTTTTACATCAACACCCTCTCCTGGCAGAGCGAGTGTGGCTGTGTCAGCTGTCCTTCACCTGGCCTGGTGTGTCAGCTGTCCTTCACCTGGCCCGGTGTGTCAGCTGTCCTTCACCTGGCCCGGTGTGTCAGCTCCGCGTCACTCGACAGCCAGCTGATGGTCTGAGACACTCTGCTTTGTCTTTCCACAGTTGAGCAAACCCGATAAAAAGGAGGAAGAAAGAAGATCAACACGCTGTCTTCTGGGGGAGGTGGGGGTGGACACTTTAAATAAGAGCCGGTGATTCCAGCAGCCCTGACTGCATTTGTGATCGTAAGATTTAATTGAAAGAAGTGAATCCCATGCAGAAGAGTTTGTCTTTGATTTCTTAAACTCTTATTTTCTTTTGAACAAATCAGGTCTGATCTGACTTTGCCACCCATAGCTGGTGGACGTTACATGCAGGTAGCATGAAGACTAGACGTATAATTTTTGCTTTGATTGTCACTTTTGTTTTGTGATTTTTTTTTTTTGTGTAATTGGTTTTAATTTTACTCTCCTTTCTTAATATTAACTGAACAGGCAGCTTTTTTTCCCTTAACATGCTTCCTGATGTTTTTGGTTAGCGAACAAGCCAGTTAGTAATGTTGTGGTGTAGCTTGTTAGTCGCTCGTGGTCGTTCTGTAACATTGAAACAGAGAATTGGCGAAGCGAAAGGTGGGGGGTGTTGATAAAACAGGGGGCAGGCAGTTGTTTTAGCTCGATGTTCTGCATTTATTGGAAAAAGTAAAAGTTTTATCTACACTCCAGCCATAGCGTCTGTTCAGAATTGCTGGTTCTGTTTCCACTTCTCTCGTGTGTTTTGTATTAAATAATCGTATTTATTCAAGATACCCCTCCTGAGGGGTAAACTGCACGGCCTTCAGGATGCTGCCCTTCACCCTTACAGAAAACTGGATGGTTTCAGTGATTATATTTGTGTTTTTCTTTGCCTTAAAACTTCCATTTCCTGCATCTGTTACTTTCAAAAATAGTTGTACTTCCATGCAAAATATTGCTTACACAAACTGTTCAACAGAGACACTTTTGTATTATTCTGCAGTAACATGGTAACTTCCTCAAATCCCAAATGAAATCACAAACAGCCGCGTGTGACTGTTTGAGACTTAGGTTAATGAGACAGCATAACGAGTGATGGCTGACTATTTGTCTGAAGCCCACATGTTTAAATACCAAATGAAGTATTGAAACGACTTGGGGGGAAAAAGGTAATTGGGTCCAGGTTTGAATCGAGTGAGCAAGCGCTGCTCTCTGGCTTGTGCAATGTGCTAGGTCATGCAGGAAACCCACAGTGACTGTTGGACACAACAGGAAAATATGGGTGGGATGAGTGTAAAGGAAATGTATGAAAGATAAGATGGAAATGGAAAATTGTAGCTGCGGAAAGTGGGCAAATATGGAGAGGAAACTCAAGAAGCAAAATGACACGTAAACAGGCAAATATTAAAATACTCAATTTTATTCTCCATGTATTAAAGTTATAAACATGTCAGGCAGTGGTTTATCACATCACTATTAGAAGATAACCAAAATCAAAAAGAAAAATAATTTCTCCAAAAGAATAGAAATAATGTATATTTTTATATATATATATATATAATCTCCCTAGGCTTCATCCCATTTATCAACACCTTAAATTGCAACAGACTTGTAAAATAATCATTGGTTTTTGAACAAACCTAACCTTGAAACATTTTTGAATGTCATGGGACTATACTACTACCCGTTTCAAGTAGTGTACAGTATAGTACGCTGTCAACGAAGAAAAACCATACTGTTCTGCATATGTGAATAGATTATACTTCAGCATGAACTGTACAAACTGTAAAAAGACTAATTAAAAAATTAATCAAAAATTGACAATTTCATGAATAATCAAATTGAGGAGCAATAAGCACTCAATGCCAATTTAATTCTAGAATTATACTAGCAAAACTAGCATTACGTATCTGTACTTTGTCGTACACACTTGTCCATTACTTTGGAAAATTGCAGGAAAACTGAAGTATGGGGAGGAAAGTTGTTCAAATGGAGAAAAAAAGAAAAAAAAACGCAATTAAACCTTGCGAGGAGAGACCCCACTTTCCTCTTAATTTGACTGGGCACAACGCAAAGAGTAAAGCGATACAGTCGATGGATGAATCGGTCCCCTTTCTACATAAAACATTCAGCATTTTTCAATTTAATAAACAGGGTGCAACTACAAACAGGACATTTATTTTACACTCAAAGAAAGTCAACAACAGTAATGACTCCAAGAGCCTCCACAGACTTTGTCTGAATACTCTGTATAGTAAAATTAACGAAAGTTGATTTATTTTTTATTTTTTTGTTTGTTTTAGGTGTAATGGCACCGCTGCGCTCTTCAGCCATAGACCCAGTTACTAAGAATGAACTAATAAGTAGCTGTGAGCTTAAATAACTTTCAAACTAAAGCAGTTTGGTCGTTAAATTTTGCATAGATGGCCGAAAACGTATATATTAAGCTTAAGGTTCACAAGAAAAGCAACTGAATCATCACAAATTCCCCCTCGTCCATGTAGCAAATTTGGCACATAAGTATTACGGCCCGAAACCTCAAAAACTATGGGAAAACTGCGCTTCACAGAGAACTACACGAATTTGTACATGTATAACAGCCTCAACTGTCGAGACTCGGGCGACTTTTAAAGACGCCACAACTTGGTGCATATCTGTCAGATGCATTGAGGAGTACAGTGCTATGTACAGCTGCTTTTCACGCCGAATTTTACACACCACAGAAGCTACCAAAATTATTTTAAACTGTGAATCTTAATGCATCTTTATCCGTTTTACTACATAAAATTTATTCATCTGCTGGGAACTGATACTGGAAGAATGATCACGACTAATATGCATAATCAAAAATACATATTTAAGTAGCACAGCTTATCAGATTAAAGTTTCAAGCAGGGAAAAAAAAATGTAACATGAGATCAACACTCCATTTGCATTACTTTTCCCAAACAATTCTCCTTGGATATCCCTGCCATGGTCTCCTGACTGGACTCCATCAGAGCACTCAAAGGCTGCCCACTATCCTCGCGCTCAAAGAAATCACATCTGCTACTCTAGGCTAGTTCTGCAAGAAGGTGAAAAGTGTTTCAGCAGATTAGCCTTTGAGGCATGTAGAAAACGGGGAAGCTGAGTTTAACTGTAAAAGCTGACACGCTGTTGACTACTTGCAGTGTAAATCACAACCGTTTTACTCTTTCGTTGTGCCCACACCGTACTCTTGGCTTAGTGACACCCCAATCCCTTCACCACTTCTCTCTAATCTATTCCAATTCATTTTCCTTTTCCAATTAACACCCTAAATTCCAAAACAACCAACCCCTATTTCTTCAGCAATCCTTTCGTTTGACATTTTCTTTGGTTTGAGAGGGTGCGCCTCTTGTTCCGCAGCCATTCTCGCTGTATCTCGCTTACCCTCTCTTTGCCCACCCAGCCCCAATTACAAACCTCAACTCCAGCTGGTGTCATAGCGGATCCACCCAGGAGGGGGCGCCAAATAGACTCGTCGGCCTTTTGACAAAAAGCTAACCACACCCCTATACCCTGCCCTCGGGACCCCAGACTTCAGGTCCTCCATCACCAGAAGATTACGTGCAAAGACCTTGAAGCTGTCTCGGCTGGAGTACTGCACCCGAAAGGGGCCCAGTCCTTTCAAGCTCCCCCCTTGTTGGAGATCCTCAATCTTCACTAGGGGGGCACTGTACACTTCCTTCTCAAAATTTTCATCGTACTTCTCACGAATCAAGTAAGTCAGATCCAGTTCGGTGAAGCGCACAGGATCAGTGTTCAGTTTAATGTAACGCAGATACTGGTCAAAAAACTGACCCTGACTAACTCCCTTGCGTCCAAAAGTTATGGTTCTGGATATTTCTGGTCGGATACAAGATCGGTCTTTGCGCTGGTCCGGCTGACGCATCCAGTCGTCCCAGAATGAGGCTGGCCATTTGGGCTCCAGTTCTTCCCACAATTCCTTAAGAAGCATCCAGCCCAGACCCGGAAAGAAGTCTGTCCTGTACAGGAGTTTCGGTTTCCCCAAGTCCACAAGTCCATCTCTGCCGTTGTCATTCCAGGCAGAAACGCACCACAAAGTTGGGTCCGAGTGAAGGATGGGATAAAGAGCCCGGAAGTATTCATAGAAATCCGAAGCCACCTGGAAGAATGCATCATGAAGTTAAAAGCACTGACGCAAAAAGTGATCAATGAACCCAACATGTGACAGTTGCCTGCAGTAAGACAGACCATTGACTGTAACAAGCAATCAAGTATGACAGCTTTCTGACAATTAGAATGAACCGTTTACAGTATCTCTTTCCACCAATACTAGCCAATCAGCCCCTGAACAGAAGCAGTGGCGTCCGCGTCCCATGCTGACAGCTCCAGCAAAAGAGGCTGAAAACAAGCAGCTGCCTGCTTTTCCTTGATCAAATGCTTTGCCTGTTACTCAGATCTGCATTTTCTGACCCTTGACACCCATTTGCCATCAGGCCGGCAAACACTGATTAAATAAGGCAATTTAATGGACAACTTCAGCGTAACATCCATTATAAGCATTAAAAACAGAGCATAAAATATAAACTTGAGTAAATTTTAACGCTGCCAAAATCCTTTGCGAAAGGCAGACCTAAGAAAACAAATGTATAAAAACTACTAATGTCAACCCTTAAAACCTATTGTAATAACACACAAGATACAATGTTACAGAAAAATCACAGATGTTGATTTTCTTTGGATTTAAGAGTAGATGAAGTACCATGCAAAGCACAACTGATGGCATGCAGAAGAAAAAGTAAATTTAGACATAATTCAGTCAAAACCTAGTCTGAACTGTACTGTTAATCTACAGTATATACAATAAACTGGTTTCACTACCATTCATAAACACTTAAGAAGAACAATGCAAAAACAACAAAAAAAAAAAAATCTGCACTCTTGTAATCTGCAAATGAACAGGCTTGATATTTACCTCCAGGTCGTCCTCGACAATGACAACGGTGGAATATCCCAGCGTTCGGAAAACCTGGTTCAGTGCCCAGCGATAATGTCTGGAGATCTTGTAGTAGCCCTGGAACTTCCTGTGTTCTGGGCGCACAGCGATGTCCGAGAGGTCCGGTTGGCTGAGGTGGGTCACCTGACTGCCGTAAGAGCTTATCACAGCGGCCGTTTCGGCATGTCCGCAGTCCTGGCTGACAATGATTGGGTAAAGTTCTGGAGATGGTCGATATTCTATCAATTTATCGAGGCTCCTTTTTACAGTCACTCGGTTGCAAGCAATAACTAAAATGGGAATGATAACTGGAGATGGTACTACAGTGGTAGCCAATTTAATGGAGTTTGTTGGCTCTTTGTTTAGTTCAGCGTTGGGGAGGGCTGAAACGCCCTCTGAATGTTTCTCCCTATTATGGTCTGTGTCCAAACCATCGTTTTTAAGTTGTGGTTGCAGCAATCGTGTCGTCTCCTTTGGCATGCTGTTTTTCTCTTTCTGACCATCCATCCCTCTCTTTCCAGCTTCTCTCTGTCGTTCCCATAGTGACCTATGACTTTGTATCTCTTTTAGCAGTTGTTTTTGGATCTCGAGCTCTGACTCTACTTCTTCTGCCAGTCGAATTACTTCCCCCGCCAGATCAGCTCCTCTGACTCCCCATTCCTCTCTTCCACCTGGCTCAGCTCCACCTCCTTCCCCCAAACGACCAATAGGAGGCCGCCCCCAAAGAAAAAGGAGCAGCAAGGCATTCCAGGCAACAAATAAGAAAGCACCACACAAAATAAGGGAACTTTTCTTGCGAACCATGGCCCAATGACACCACAAGAAGAATTAAAATACCAGAAAAATAAAAACTAGGGCAGGTAAGACTACAACAGAAGAAAAACAAGGGGTCTAATCAATATTTAGAGAAAGACTAGGTGTTTCAATCACAGACAAAAATTGAGAACAATCACGGAAATCCAGGTACATAATTCAAATGGAAAGATCCAATCACATAGCAGGATGGTTGATGGCAGAAAATTGCACTCTATTATCAGGGAATTTGAGTGTCTTGCTTTTCTTTTTTGTGTTCATTCATATACACGCATAGATTGCTGAAAAGCATACAGCAATCACCAATGGTGGGCACATGGGTGTAAACGAATTTCTGGAAGATCTCTTCACCAAACAAAAGACAACGGAAAGCAGGGGACAGGGGAGACAGAATACTGGGAAAGTGCACCAGTACAGGGGGGCTGGGAAAAGGAAGGGGTAATATTGGGGTGGGGGTGAGATGCTGCAGTGTTACCCTTCTGCCATCACTCTGCAAGAGAGAGAGAAGAGGGGGAAACAAGTTAGGGCAGTTTGAGAAACATTCACTCCTGTGACTTGTCTCAAAGAACAAACCTCACATTCCTGCATCTACACCAACAGAGAAATCTGATCTAAGATGTTACCAGAAACAGCCATAAAATCCTTTTACAATAATTCTACAATTCTGTGGCCGAGGACTGACATTAATGGTTTAATTCTTCAAGAATGTCTCTAATATAAAATACAGAAGAGGGAGGATTATGGTAGTAACTACTCTGCACGAAAAAAAATGCATTGCAGTTGAAGCATTAAACATTTTATTGGTATCATTAAGATCTAGACAATTCTTTTTAGCACAAATATGATAAGTTGCACAATAAGCAATGCGGCAATGACCCAACTCCTAGATACCACCAGAAATTCAATGCATCAAAACAAGTTTTTTTTCCTCATTTTGCAGGAAAGGGGAAGAGTAAAAAACTGCTGATAGTGAATGTTCTACAAGAACTCAGCAGGAAAAGCTTCTGGAGGCTTAGTGTCCACCTCCATGACCCATTGTCTTACATGTCTGGGTATCAAGGTAATTCTGTGATTTTCTTTAGGAGAAATGCAGTGTTTTAATAATCGTATTAAATTAAATTTACATGTACACACTCACTACTCTGCATGTGAATAAATCAAATAGAAAGTCAAAAACAACCAACAAAGAATACACAGATCACAACACCTTCAAAGAACTACTGTGGCCCAGAGTGAAAGTAAAAAGAGCAGGAAATGGTGCAAGACTTAAAAAATCCCAATAGATTAGATGTCTTGAAACGGAGTTTATCGTATCTCAATGGACTACCTTATATCAGGGAGCATGTTCTACTGTAACTGTTAAGCTTGAACCCGAAAATAATTAAATGCATTTCACACACAATCTCTTACAAAAATCAAGGCTCATACCGACACAGGAAACTCATAATTTACTGGATGAAGTATCTGGCTACATTATCTAGCTGCGAATACAGTGACGGGAGCAGTAACAGTAACCTCACGTGTGTTAATTCTCTGCCTACAAGTTTCTTCTTCGTGACATTAACAGGAAGTGTGTATATGTGGGACAGTAATGCACAAGGAATAAAAAAAAGCATAAAATGCCACAGAATGGCAGCTACGGCGCTGAGGAGTTCACAAAAAGGCAGCTCAGGTATCTTAATCCACATATGCACAAGATGTAAGTCCCACGTGAAAGCATTTCTTTGATGGAGGTAAGTCCGACAGGCAGTGGTACTTCGGGCTGGCCTCTGTTAATCACACACCTGAGTGGCAGTCGCTTTAAGCTTCTCCACAATATGCTCAGAAAAACCTCCAGTAAACCGCCGTCACCCCCCACCGATGCATTTGACAGATTGCCACTAATCACCAAATTATACAGGGGAGTCAAAGTCAAAGAGTTCTAGGAACCATCAGTGCAAGTGCGACACCTTTTCCCAGACACACAGAATGCATGGCATTACTGAACATCGATGGGTGAGCCCTGCTGTTGGGTGAGGCTGAGTGAATTAGGTGAAAAAAAATTCAATATGGAGTCTCGCTTTCATTACGCCATTGCAAAAAAATTAAAATGCACAACTTGGAAAAAACATCAAGAAAGTGAATTAGGGGTACAAACGCCAACAGTCATAAGCAGCGGCATTCTAATCTGATTAGCAAAACTAAAGCCATCAATGTGAGGACAATCAGAGAACAGAAGGCACTGAACAGAAGGCACTGAACTAAGTTCTACTGCGATACACCATTAATCGTTATGGAGATACATGTAGGTACCATATAAGGTAAATCATCATCTACATACTACTATACATTCATGATCATAGAATTAAAATCGACCACCTTATCAACATATTTGGGGCAGTGCGTAGCTTAGTGGGTTAGAAACCATCGTCTATGTCCAGAAGTTAATGGATTCAAATCTTTGACCAGCAGTGTAATCATATCACATCTGGCCCCTGAATCCTAACTCCCAGGGATACCGGTGACCCAGCTGCTATCCACAACCAAACAAAATCCTCACTTGCATGAGGTTTTGGACAAAAGCACATACATGTAATTATCATACATGTCAAAGAAACAGTCCGCTTTTCACCTAATGTTGCCCATGCAAGTGCAACAATTTCTTATGCTTAGCAAATTCCAACCATACTATAGTCTCCACTCAAGATAGAGACATACGAGAAAGTATTTACTTCACCGTGTTGTAAAGAACTATTCGGCATGTTGAAATGTGTACTAGCGCGTGATTTTACACTGAATACAGACCAAATTTGTAACATCAGCATAGCCAGGGCGCTCATTGAAAACACATGGTCTCAAAGGGTCAAACACGCATGATATCCGCACTTAAAATTAAAGGGTGGGAGACCCACAGACAAACAATTTACAAGCCAAGTTGTAAAATAAATCTGAACACAGGAAACAAGTAAGGTTACACACCAACCACGCAAAAAGTACAAAATCAGACATAAAACGGTAATGAGTAGAGAGGTGACAACTCGAAGTAGTTCTCGTACTTGTACCTTAAACAAATATTGTTCTTTCTTTCAGTGCCCATTTCGGCGGCATCGGGGCAAAAACAATTAAGTAACGTAAAGCTGGATTCTCTCAAAACGTTTTAACCCCCTCCGTCTCCCAGTCCTGCTCCAGCCTCTCCCTCTGCCCGAAAACGTGTGATTGCCTGGTAGGTTCCTACACAGGAAACCAAAGGTCAAAGTGCATCCCAAAACCCAAAGTAAGCGAATAAAAAAAAAAAAAAAATAAAAAGTTGCAGGATAAACTTTGACTTCAAAAAGCATGGGGGGGGGGGTGAAATAGGCAGAAATCCTGAGATAGTGAGTTCCCATTCCCCGATCATCACCAACCCAAAGTCTTGTTAATTTCCTAAGACTTTCACTCCCGGTGAAGCCGATACATTACTTCACAGCGTTTTCCTTCTTAAACGCATTGACAGATCTACACGAAAGACCCGCATGTTTGAAAATTGGAAACTCAGAATGACCCGGCACTATATATTTGATCCCTGTTCCCACGGAACATATAGGCAGCTTGCTACCATTATGCCAACGTGTGAGGCGCCTTTGTGCGGGTTAAAGCAAAGCAAACGTGTCGGGCCAACTACCTGGCATTACGTCAGCCTCGATAGCTAGTTAATAAAACTCATAACTGGCTAATGTTACCCCTGTCAGGGGGTCCGGCGGACTAGCTAAGTTTTACCCGTTGACTCGCGCAGGCTCGCGATCCGCACCGCACTCGCTTTCACAATAAAAGTTCTCATCTCGACTTCCAGCATTTTTCTCCCTTTTTCATTTTACTAATACTAACAAAACAAGCTCCTGGCTAAAAGGCTAACTAGCTAAATCATACACACAGCACAGCATACTGACTTCCAGTCACGCGCGCACAACTACATTTGAATCTCACCTTCCTCCGCTGCCACAAGCCTCCGGGCTTTTCGCTGGGGCGATCCACAATTAATACGCTTAAACCGGCTTCACGCTTCACTCTTCCCTCCCTTCTCGTGCCCTTATTTCACCAACGCCAATACGCCGTCGCCTCTTATCCACAGATTTCCCATTTCCCCCCTCTTTCACCCCTGTCTATCTCAGATCCGCCATTGACATGTTATTTAAAATATACACGTGCAGTTCCGCCGCAAAATGACGACTAGCCGGTAGCTATCTTGGGTGAAATTCCCCCAGGTTCACTCAACGCCCGCTTCGGCTCTTCGGATGGCAGCCACAATATTATTTATCTGACACCCAGTGCAGCGTTACACACACACACACTCCACTTCCGGATTGACTCATTAAGTAAGCCCCGCCCCTCGAGCTCACCTCCCGAGCGCCACGACTCCCTTCCCCCTCCTGACAGTTTTCCCTAGCAACAGGGGTGCCTTGGCAACCGTCGCGAGGCGTCGGCGAATCCTTCGCAACGTCACACCATCATTGATGAAACACAAGCATAAATTTTATCTTATGTTATACGCTAATAACATGAAGGCCCAACTGTTATGAAATAACTCGCACGCTGGCCTAAATTACATCCTTTTTAGATATACATTCTTCTTTCCGGGTATTAATATTAAAAACTTCGTTCCCAAGTGTATCGTATGACTAAAGACATGTGCTAAAATAAGTATGCACACATAAATACTGACATTCACATATCACACCTCTCAAAACGACTATTGATGACCGCCACCTACTAATTCAGTAGTGTTGTATTAGATTAATAGAAATTAATGCAAATAGAGCTGCATCGACTGAACCGGCGTTTTGTGTAGCGCTTGTAACAATGAACACACCGTAACGCCATATCCTAATACACTAAAGAATATGACTGCTATAAAATTCCCATATATGGCTAGTCAACATTATTCATTTCCTGATCGAAGGCAACAATGATAATTTATGTACAAATGAAATAGGCAGAAGCAGAGAATTTATGATACAATGCATGCAATTCACATAAGTTGAACAATGTAAATTTCCAGAAATTTAAATCAGAGAGTGAAACGCGTGAAATGTTGAGGTGGAGGTTTAACGATAAAGTATTAATGCATTCTAGTCAGAAAAATAGGCGTGGTCAAAGTCTCTGTTCAACTCGTTTGACCCGCTCCATGTGAATGTGAACACCGGAGAAACTAGTTTGTGAAAAGTCTAAAGGACTCCCAGAGACACCACAGTTCAAAAACAACATTGCTCGTGGCATAAAACTAACACGAAGTTAAGTAATCTTACTTTATGGTCACCTTACTTTTTGTGGAAGACAAGTTTGAAGGAAGACAAGAGAGTGACATAATCTTGTTATGCAGGAATGATCTAATTTAAAACATACAGCTCTGGAATAAATGAAGAGATCATTATATATTTTTTTAAATCTGCCTTTTAAAATCCTGGTTTAATCCTGGTCCTGCTGGCAGAGGTTACACTGCTCAGCGGGCTGCTTCCAGGCTCAAAGTTTCGTACACAAGAACAAGGTGAAGCAGGAGACACTGGGAACGACCAGAAACCAGCCAGGTAGAGGGCAGAAGCGACTTTCTAATGCCAGAGATGACAGTCAATATATCAGGCAGTGCCTCATAAATCAGACGATGACCTCAAGTGACCTTCAAAGGAATGGGAAACATTAAGTGCAGGCGTGAAGTGCACTGCTAGGACAGTTCATAACAGGCTTCTAGAAGCAGGACTGAAGTCCCATAAAGCAAGGAAGAAGCCCTTCATTAATGAGAAACAGGGAAGAACCAGGCTGCAGTTTGCAAAAAAAAAACTATATTTTTACACAGGTGCATACCCATAAATTGATAAATCAGCCAAACTGAAAACTTTGCCGTGATCTCTTCATTTAATCCAGAGCTGTATGTACATAACAAGCTGATTGATTTGAAATGTCATAAGCTGATTGATCTGACTGACAAACCAATTTCTCCCACCATAGCATCTAAAATCATCCCACAATTAGCAGATCCATTTAATTAATCTTTTTACAAGGAAAAGCCTGCAAACCATGCAAATTAATACAAACACTTTGTATATAAAAAATTTATTAAGGACTGATTGTATGTCCATATTTCATAACTAGTTTGCTGCTGTTTGAAGTTGAGATCCATAGATTACAGTGCAGGGACTCGCACTGCCCACTGCACCCGCACCCACTGGATTCATCTCTTAATTCGTGCATAAACAACGTTTCCATCCTTGTCTCTTAGCTTTCTTGTCCTTTTAATTGGTGCAAGTTTAGTAGCTGATCCTCTGTGTTCTTCAACTCCTGTTCAAGTGCAGAAATCTGAGAATTTATATACAAAAGAAAATTACAAAATGAACATTAATGCCACAATGTTCGTAATTCTGTACATTATTGTGATTTTTCCTCATATTCCTCACTCCACCTGTTTCTTTACACTCAATACATTTAACCTAGAGTGATTTTAATGGTTTTCCACAAAAAAAAAAGCTAATTTTTCAGAATATAAGCAAATTACACTCAAACTTCACTTACAGTAATGTGTTTATGGTCAGAAGCAATGAATCGAGAGAAAGAGACCTATTATTGGTGTATTTTTGTAATACTTCAATGCTTTATTGTTTAATCATCTTTTAATTTATTCATTATAAGCAATAGTGACCTTCCCGTGATCAAATGAAACTCAACGGCTAATGTCAAGTACTGTAAACACAGGAAGTTCCTCAGGCAGAGTTAGGATTAGCCGTTTCAGACAGATGGCAACATGGTGAGAGATCTAGGGGGGAGCAGGATGGGAGAGAGCGCTGACGGATGTTTGTCCATCATCATGTGACCAGCCGCGTGCCCCCATCATGTGACCAGCCGCGTGCCCCCATCATGTGACCAGCCGCGCGTCGCCATCATGTGACCAGCCGCGCGCCCCCATCATGTGACCAGCCGCGCGCCACCATCATGTGACCAGCCGCGCGCCACCATCATGTGACCAGCCGCGCGCCACCATCATGTGACCAGCCGCGCGCCCCCATCATGTGACCAGCCGCGCGCCCCCATCATGTGACTAAGCCTCCCCAAGCCCGTGCTTTACCCGGCTTCGCATTTCCTGTCTGACACTTTCCGGCACCTTCTCTTCATAATGTGGCATTTCGGTTTGAGAGAGACACCGTTGCAACTTGGAGAGGATTTTCTCTTTGCGACTGGACAGCAGGGCCTCCTGTGCGTCTGTGTCCACAGTCCCCTGGAGGTCAGAGGTCAGAGGTCACACATTTTGTTCTGGCTGTCCACACCTCGCAGTACACGAAAGACTCCACAAAGAGGGACTTGCACAGTACATTAACCCTGAATAGAAGGACACTCTACCATCATAAAGCTGACAGTATGTACACATACTAAGACCATGTAGCACATATTAATGCCATATGAACACTGTGACCTGAAAGTGCAGCATTTTTAACCCCCAGTAACCTGTGATTACCTGGGTGTGCAGGTGCACCTCACAGCTGGGGTCAACTACATCCACTGCACAGCCTTCAGGTGGTGCATCACCACCCCCCTGGGGGCAGTGGAGGTTTAGGGATGAGACGCGGCTGAGGGTTCGAATGGTGGAGCTGAAGCGGAGGAGGATCTCAGCTTGGTTGGGCGAACAGACGACCCACACTGGACGGATGCAAAATGCATGTATGTTATCAGCACGTTGTGGTACAGGCACTGTGCCACAATAAGTCCCAGAAGCAAAAGACAAAAAAAAAATCTTACTGTCAGGTCTTTCTTTGGTCATGTGACACTGGGTCCGCAATCCTCTTGCCACTCTGACTACTTCCTGTACAAAAGCAAAATCTCCCTCTTCCTGGGGAAAGTGCCAGTGGCTCTGAAGTTGAGGGGACGGAATTTGCATGTGTGGGGTGGGGGGGGAGGCAAAGAGAAAAATTAGCATACACCGCCTGCCATGATATTTCATTCACGTCTCATTAAACCCCTGCACACAAACAGTGCCCGGAATTCAACACAGATCTGCAGCACGATTGGCCTCTTATGACACATCTAATGCTCATTCATGTGTCACCAACACCGTTTCAAAACGTCCTGGAGAACTTAATGCTTCGCTTCGATGCACGACTCCCAAAAGACTTTTTCAAAAGGTTGAGAAAATCACCAGCGATAAGATTCTCAAGACAACGGAACGGATGATTCACCACCTGGGAAGGTTTACAACTGCTACAAGTATGTTCAGTTATTTCAACACTAAAACGTGATATTGTTCTCTACCAGGAATATGCAGGATGTTCTGTCAATTACAGACATATATAAAGATTTCAGTATATGGGAATGTTTATCCAGTCAACTGGCCACAAAACCAATTTGCATTTTTATTACTAATTTGTGACATTTGGAGTTTGAAATGTGACAAGTTCCATTGAAGATTTACTCTGTCATTTCTGCATAGCTTCCTTTCGGAGGAGTTCTTTACTATAATAATCAAACAAAGGCCATTATCCTGCATGCAGTTTTATTGGCATCTTAATAGGTTTAATAAGTTTCCTCACCATCTGGCTGGACTGTGGATAGGGCTGCAGGCACAGGCTGGTTGCCACGGTGCCTGCCAAGTGTGGGCGGAGCCTCTGCCACAGCTCTTCGGTCAGGAAGGGCATGAAGGGGGAGAGGAGGGTGAGGGAAACGGACACAGAGTGTAGCAGGACACCCCGCACAGCTGCCTGCCGCTGGAAGCCTTCCGTGGACGCCCCAGTCAGCACCGGCTTGATGCACTCCTGCGGTGAGGAGTAAGACAAAATGCTGACATGCACTGTTAATGTAAAGCGGGGCTTCACTTTACCGGGGGGGCCCGGGCCTCACCAGGTAGACGTCACACAAGCTGTGCACCCAGAAGGACTGCACTGCTGCCGTCACGGCCTGCAGGTTGTAGCTCTCGAACCCGCGTTCACATTGCAGCACGGTGCTGTAGAGCCGGGAGCACAGCCACCGGTCCTCGCTACTGAACGGGGACACCTGAGAGGGACGTCACCACAGGGGAAAGACCTTCGAGTGACATCACACTGACACTCTCTACCCACAGAAAACGTTCTGGGGGCACAAGAGTCGACGCTGGCAGGTCCACCGAAGGCCTATCACCTGACAGGCCCTTGCTTTTCAATGTGGGGGTGCACGTATCGTCCAGCCTTACTTAAAGCCTCTGGCAAAGACAAAAATAGCCCTGACCTCATTCGTCCCAAAAACATTTGAGGCTCCTAACAATAGAAAACTGAATAGAAATCACATCAGGGCAAGTGTCTGGTGGGGGGGGGAAGCGGAGACAACATAGGGGAAGGTCGCCTAACGTCCATATTATTCTTGAGCACCTGCACCTATTCTTTAAAAAGTTCACACGGTAATTTGAAACTGGAGAGGAAGTGTGTGGCGAGAATGGGGTGAAGAGGCACAAAAGGAAGAGAGAAAGGACGAAAGAAGAGAGGATGGGAGGAGAGAACGAGAGGAATAAGGAGGGATGAGCCAGTGTGGGCTTGGAGTACATTAGCGTCTCATGCTACGTAAGAGAAGCATGAATACAATAGAGGCTGGGTGTTGGTCTGATCTGGGGGGGGCACAGCTGACACTGTTCTGTACCTCTGCCAGGGTTTGCGGATCCCTGCCCGCCTGCTCCAGTACCCCCAGGGTGAAGCGCACCGTCTGCCACATCTTGTTACAGAAGCGTCTGCAGTTCAGCACCTGGGACACGGACAAGCGGATGTCCTCCCCTGCAAGGCACAAAGGGGAATCTTAGATATGGGACGGAGGGCAGAGGGACAAACGGACAGCGAGGAGCCCAAAGACGGACTGGAAAATGCACAGCAGCTAATTACGGAGCCGACAGTCGGACCAGAGGTGCACAGATTTTCCAGTGACCACTGGCCAACCTTGTTTATTTCACTACTATTGTTATACCTGGCAATACGTAACTGTATTACGGCCCAAAGCCTGGTTAATGGCCTCGGCAGGACTGTGCAGGGAGTGCAGCTTTTTGAGGGATGAATCGATGCTGTGAATAGCTACAGGAGTCCTGGATAAACAGGAGACCCTACGCTTTAACCAAAGCTTCGCTCCCAGCTGTAGATCTGTATGTGTATACGTCTTAAAAAGGAGAGCAGGATGGGATATGCCAGACTGAACACGTTCCAAAGTTGCTGTACTAGTATAAACAGCAAATAAAGCCTCGTTTTATTCCGTTTCGGCTCACCCTGGGCCTTGTAGGTGCAGAGGGCAAAGCGGAGGGCATCAGTACCACATTCGGGGATTCCTTTGGGGTAGTCCTTCTTCTGGAGAGAGGAAAAGGCAGGAGGAACGGGGTGACACAGGATGGCATATCCGGAAATTCAGGAGGGGGAGATTTCCGGTGAAGTGTCTGACCTGGGCCTTCAAGGCAATACTGGTTTCACGGGGCTCCAGGTTTCCATCCTTGATCTTGTCTTGAAGCCTCTGGGGATCACAGTTAGTGAGGCAGTCATGTGACATCCTGTTAACCCATCCAGGATACACTAGCACTTCACCAGAGGACTGACTGGCTCCGCACTTCCAAGCCGCCCTTCCCTTTCACTCCGCTCCTAACTCACCAAGCCCTGCTGAAGACGTGGGAGGTGCATTACCTGCAGGGAAACGCCAGAAATGATGTCCAGCGGGTCGATGACGTTGCCTAGAGATTTACTCATCTTCCTCCCGTGATTGTCCCTCACCAGAGAATGAAAGAGCACCTGAGAGAGAAGGAGAACAGAGGAGGAGAACAGAGGAGGAGAACAGAGGAGGAGAACAGAGGTGAACAGCAGACATACAGCCACCTACAAAGGAGAGTGAGAGTGTCGCATCACATGACCTGGCCACCTGACCATGCCGCATCACATGACCTGGCCACCTGACCATGCCGCATCACATGACCTGGCCATCTGACTTAAACAACCCCCTGTAGAAATGGTTTTGGAGGAGTTTGACCAGAGAGTGAAGGAAAAGTGGCCAATGTGTAGTCAGCATATATGTGGGACCTCCTTCAGGAGCTGGAAAAGCATCCCAGGAGGCCGCCTCATGTAACTGGCGTAGAGGACAATGTAGGGTCAGTCAGTCCCTGGAGCAATTGAGGTTAAGGGCCTTGCTCAAGGGCCCAGTGGTGGGATCGCTCTGCTGACCCAGGGATCTGAACCAGCAACCTTCTGAGTAACCTATGCACAAAGTTGACACCCCCCCCCCCCAAACAAATAATTATTTTTTGTTTAATATTTTTTTGGTCCAGTGCATAATTCCATATATTTTACTTCATATTTTTTTTATATTTCACTTATAGCAACTTCGGAACATGATGGTATATTCATCACATAGGTAAGATTCCACTGTTAAGATCCAGAACACAAAGCTGGGTCCCCCAGGCTCTCGCCGCTCATCACAAACACAGGCGCTGTACACACTCACACTGCCACTTTAAAGTCTGCATGTACAAGGTGCCTTTCATTGGAACTCGGAAGTCGGGAATTTCAGCTGGAACACCCCATGAAGTCGGAGTTTCGACTCGGAAAGTCTGAGAAACCTCTGCAACCTCGGCCTCAGAATTCAAGATGGCTGCGGCCTTCATCGGCAGAACAGAAAGCTGTAGTTACACTTATGTAGTATCTGTGTCTGATTAAATCGGTCGTACACAGTACTGCCCAACCGCTATCTGTAGACAAGTTGCCACGGTGTTTGTATGCACAAAATGCCACACAGTGTGCTGTTATCAGCTGGCTAGCAACGAGCCCGGCTAGAACTGGCTTTGCCAAATGGCTTTCCGACTCGTACTGGAGTGCAGCTGAGTGTCATATCATTCCCAACTACAAGCTCTGACCTCCGATACAACTGCGTTTTGTATTTGTTTTCACCTTATTACTGCTCTGTCCATTGTCTGCATTATTTTGGAATGAACTATTTTACGGTCTTAAATCTGTTTTCCATTGTTATTAGGCTATTATTGTTTAAAAAGTACTGCACAAATACAAAAAAGTTCATTGTACTGCAGTATAATGACAATAAAGCTCTCGTCATATCTTAATAGATAAGTTCTTTGGAAATTCATGTTTTGCAACACATACACAGAATCAGTTGATAGCATGCCGAGACTGTCATGTAGGTACTAGTCTTTGTTGTAGTGTATTAAATTTTATTGATTTGTTGGACAGTGACAGGTCAGATGGGGACGGAAAGAACTCAGACGCCCCTTTTTCATGCATTTGGAAGAAATAACCAGTGAGCCTCCTGCAAAAAGAGCAGACATCTGGACCGTCTCACTCAGCCAATGATGTGGCAGCTGGGCGGCACCCAAATGACAGCTGTGCCCAGGGTTCCGGAGTTCAGCCGCACGTCACATTCACGGCTGCTGAGAAAGCAAAGACGCCCCCACACCCGTTGCACTTGGCAAAGGCACAGAGTCCCACAGCCCTTCCCCCTCACCTGTTTAAAGGGCAGCTGCCCGGTGAGCTCCATGCCTAGCATGACCATCCGGGCTACCCAAAAAAAGATGAGATCACTTCCTGTCTCTAGAAGGCTGTTGGGGTAGAACTGCTGCAGGTCCTGAGTCTGTGGGTGGGAGTGGGGGAGTGAGTAGGGCGTAACATTGATGTTTGGGGTGATTATGGGTGATGGAGGGGGAGGGTAGGTTTATACACCTGTCGCGGCCAGCCAAGCATAGCAAAGGGGAAGAGGGCTGAAGAGAACCAGGTGTCCAGCACATCTGGGTCTGAGGGAAGGAGAAAAGAGCAGTTAGTCAACACTGCTAAGCATAAAAATTTATACCTTGCAGAAAACAAAGAGTTTTCTAAGAAAAGAATGGGATTTCTCCCTAGTCAAAGTGATAAATTGCCCCTTAAAGCTAATCAAACGTTGCCAAAATTCCAGAATGTGTCAAATGCCTGATTACAGCCCAGAGAAGGGATCTGGTTTAAGTGAAACCCAAGATAATCAGCGCTGAAGGCCTGTGGCATCTGGCCAATCAGCTACCTGCTCCTGGGCACCGCCCCCCTACTGCTCTCGCTATGGTGAAGCTGGGTCCATTCACCCCGAGTCAGCGTCACGGCATCAGGAGTCACTCCGAATCTGGCCGCGGCTCTCTCTCTGGCCTCCTCCTCACTCCTCCCCCACACCCACCGCTCCTGAGGACATGGAGAGGATCATGCACCCGGAGTGGCAGAGAGAGCGCCCCCCCGGGGACCTCACACCTCGTATCAACTTCCCTCCTACATTTATCCCCATTCAATGTACTGAGCATCAAACTAAAAAGACCACTGTGTTATTCAAAATGTTCATTATCAGAAAAGTTATTTTCAAGGATTAATTAAGAAATTATATTAAAAGAAAACTGTAAGCAAAAACACTGGTCTGTTCCCATGGAGTGACAGTAATACCAAGAGGAATGTTTCTGGCTTGTGTCAGATGGAAAAAATTACTAAAAAAAAAATGCAACAGCTGCACAGGAGAGAGAAAAGACGTTCTGGGTGGCCCTACCTCATCTGTGTCAACGGAACCCGAGAGCGAAACCCGATAGGCCGGAATCTGGTGACCCCACCAAAGCTGTCTGGAGATGCACCAATCGCTGCAATAGAAAGGAGAAAAAAAGAAAGTCAAAAGAGTATATACGCGGAAATGGTACACGATGTCTGCACGATCGTGGAGGAAATGGTACACGATGTCTGCACGATCGTGGAGGAAATGGTACACGATGTCTACATGATCATGGAGGAAGTGAGCAGTGATGCTGAGGTAGAAAGAACAGGATGGGAGGAAGAGCAGGGGGTTAGAGAGGAGAAGAGGGTAAGAAGAGAAAAGTGAAAATTTCCTCTCCTCTTTCATCTTTTACTTCCAACAGCAGTGCAAATCGCTGATCCGGATGCAGACTGAACGGCCGCAGATCCCTGAGCCGGAGAAAGGAGACTGAACCCACCTTATGTCGGAGAGCCAGGTCTTCCATGTCTTATTGTACATCGAAGGGATTATCCTCAACTCCCCATCCTCCACTGCCTGAAGAGGAGAGGGCGTCACAGAGGGACGTGACAGCCAGCCGGCGCACCGCGCACATACAATGACACACTAACACATTACCGATCCCTGAAAGACCCTGCACATGCAAACACACACCAATGCATTACCGATCCTTGTACCAAACCACACACCCAATGGTGCACTAATGCATTACCGATCCCTGTACCACCCCAGATCACCCCCAGAAAATCCATACAGATAATAGCACACAATGATGCTTTTCAATTTCACCTTATTAAAAGAAGCAGACATTTGTTGTAGGGATAATGTCCCCATGCTCTTTTCCGCAGATCTGTCCCCACAAAACCAGCACAGACACCAAAGCAGAGCACATGCTGAGAGTGGTCACTCACCTGTATCGCCCTCCGCGCCATCTGCTCGCAGCGCACAAACCACTGTCTCTTCAGCAAAGGTTCGATCACATCTCCAGAGCGGCTGGGGGAGAGATGGACAGATGGATCGATCGACAGCCACGACAGTCCAAAGCTGCCTCAGCCCTGTCAGATCAGAGCTGCGTCGTTTCACACTGTCGCCTGGACTTGCAGTTTCGCTAACTTGCCTTCCAAGATGGAACTTGGGACGCAATGAATTATGGGACTGGTCTCGTTCAGTGAGGAGGCAACCGATACGTCCTTGACATTTGGGGCAGGCATGAATGAAACCATGGGATTTTTAGTGTCCACTGTATTTTTGTTCTTAGTGTTGGGACAGATCTTTAGCAATGGAAGAAGACGTAAAGTGGGTACACGAGAACACAAATACAGTCGAGTTTGCATATTGATGAACACCCTTGGCTTGAGTGTGACGTCTCTGGGTCCATCATACCTGCACACAGGGAGGGACATGGCATGATCCTGCCTTCCTCTGAAGAGCTGCCTCTCCTTCAGGGCTTCCACCACTCGAACCCGGGCCTCGAACCGCCTCACACCCTGACGAAGGATAGGGGGGGGGGGGGGCATGAGCACTCAAAAAAATACAGCAATTTATGTCTACAATACTCATTTTCTCCATCATTGGCTCAATCATTTTTTTAGACTTTGATATTTAAGCACTGATTATATTCTGTTTCCACTCATTAAATCCAAATAGTTTAACAGAAAAAACAAACAATTAATTAATAAGTATTACATGCATTATAATTATTATGATTATAAGTAATGAGTTATCACTTTTAGTGAACACCCCCCCCCCCACCATGTAGCCGGGGTGAGCCGTATCCAAACTTGATTTTACTGCAGGACAAGCCTGACTGGCTCACATTTAAAAGCAGAACCAATGAGAACAAAGGCAGGCAGCAGTGCACCTCCAACCACTGGCCGCAGGAAGAGGTCATGGTCCCGTCTCCTCCAATCACAGTGAGGCGGGGAAGTGAATGGCGCTGGGAAAGCAGGAAGTCGGTATGGTCATGGGCAGGGGTCACCTTCACTGCCCCTTTAAAAAAAAAAACAGGAATTCTTAATACGACCTTCAGACACCTTACCTCTCCATACACTCAGCAACAGCTTCACTTTTATATTTAAAGGACACATTTATTCAGGCAACAGCTGATATTTACTTAAGTCACAGAGGCTCAGAGATGGTTAAGGGGGGTGAAGATTCTATTACCCTGTTCACCTAGGCCATTACATTTATAAAGCATAAGAGATGCACGGCATTCATTACTGACGAACACTGACATTAGCAAGATTTTCTCAAGTATTTATCCATCCATCCATATATCATCCATCTATATATCCATCATCCATCTACCCATTTCTCCACCCGTCCATCCATCCATCCATCCATCCATCCATCATCTAACCATCTTTCCACCCATCCATCCATCTCCTTCTCTAGCATGGTGCCTATCCCAGGAAGCTGAGAATGAGGCGGGGGACACTCTCCCTTTGGGGAGAACATCAAAGCCCCACCCACAGAGAGCTGGGGTACGATTCGAACCCCGAACCCTTGAGAGTGCCCCCACCCCACCACCCCATTCAAAAGCAGAGTTTCGCCAACACCGATCAATGAATAAGGTTAAACTGTCATACAGGTACCTGTGCCCAGGCTCATGTCCACCAGGGGGTCGGTGATCAGCGGGAGCAGCCTGTCAGTGAAGGGGTGTCTGCAGTATTTACCGTGGAGTGCCTGGGGGGGCAGGATGCAGAGAAGAGATTAAAGCAACATAGCAGGCTGCGGTGGCTCTGCGAAGCCCTGTGGGAGAGGCAGCCCAAGGTCTGGCTGCGAGCTGGGTCAGTTGGAACCCCAGCCGACAGGGACCGAAGCTAAGACAGTGTATCTGCGTGAGAGCGATGATACCGGCCTGGTACCGGGCGTCGTCCGGGTTCACGGCGATGGCCACGTCCCCCAGCATGGTCTCCGGACGCGTGGTGGACACCAGCACCTCTCTGTCTGAGGCAGGCAGAATTACACCTCAGCATATACATCTAGAACGCCTACAGCCAGACATTAACAGTCAAGGGGGATGCTTAGGGCCTGGTGGCCACCAGGGGGCACCCCACCTGACACAGCCTGCCAGAATGGGAAGGAAAATGACAAATGACAACTAGGTTAATCAAATTTTGCTTAGGGCCACGAAAAGCATTGGGCCGGTCCTGGATACAACAACAAAACTATGAAAAATCCCCCAGTAGGTAAACAGTAACAACAATGAGATTAAGAGACTTTTAAACACTGTTGGTAGATAGTACATGATGCACATGATGTACAATAGCATGGAAAAGGAGTGCAGATCTGACAGAGACGGACCAATCAAAAGGAAGAGAGATAATGGAGTCACTCACCCTGCCCCTCTAAGGGGTAGGCAAAGGTGAACAGAGTCCCAAACTCCACCTTCTGTTCGTAGCCTGGGACAGACAGCAGGGTCCGTCCAGATAGCTGCACCGAATCCACCTGAAAATCGTAACCAAAGCCTCAGTTCTGGCCCATTTCTGGGGACAGTCAGGCTTCTCCTGGTTCGGCAGGAGCTTTGAAGAATCCCGGTACTGAACATCACCTGCTTAGATTCATGTCACTGTAAACACTGCACATAAACATGCCATCCCTAGTAATGTACTTGAAAGAGAACCACGATGGACAAATTACAGCCAATCCAACAGATATTACACTGCGAAACAAATTACCCAACCCACCACCCCCCCAGTCTGTTCACCCGGGGCAAAGCTGATTATTTTAAATGTCACAAAAATGTCATCACAGCCATAACATCAAATCATAACCAAAGCGAGACTCCATCTCTGGCTACTTCAGTTCTTAGCGCGTATGTGATGGGGATGCTAATGATCTCTCAAGCTGTCTGTGAAGCCACTGGGAAATTCATTTGTTTTTTTTCTTCTTTGGGTTTCAGTTAATCAAACAGAAGAAATCTCACTTGCATGCCAGATCGGGATTTCTTCCACAGATAAGGAAATATGGGTGAGTCACAAACGCAATCATTTGGGACACAGATACCAGCAGCCACTTTGTCATCCACCCGTCTCTCATGCTGTTTATCTAGTGCGCAGTGAGTCTGGAGCCCATCCCAGGAAGATGGGAACGGCCACCCTGAACAGGAAGCCTGTCCGTCACAGGACACACACTACGGCAAACCGGAATAGCAGGAGCAGAGATGTAAAATGCGTGTACAGAGCTGGAGATAGAAAGCAGACTGACAGTGCTGCAGGGAATGGCACCACTGAGCACTCTATCCATAGGCTATGCAGTGCTGCTTCAGCCCAAACTGCTTATTACACCAGTGAGGCCTCAAATGGACAAGAATGTTGGCTGTTATGGAAAGAAAGATCAGGAAAGATGCTGATATGCACACAAATACTTAGACTGAAAAACTGTGGGGGAATAAGAGGAGGGTAGTTCAGGACCAGAGAGTAAAAGTCCAGACCAAGATTATGTTTCAACCAATCACCTGATCAGTCTATGACAGTGACTTTTTATACTCAATTGGTTTGCTGAAACAAAATCTTGGTCTGGACTTTTACTCTCTGGACTTGAACTACCCACCTCTGATTGTCACTACAGGAACACCTGCCTCTATGTCAGAGATGGCGGAGTCCAGCGCACAGCTCCAGTTGACGAGCCCTTCTGAGCGGTACACCAAGCCAGAGTCACACAGGCGCACGAAGGCCTCTGTTACGGCGTCACTGAAGGCCTGAGGCAGGGGACATGGGTGGGGGGTGGGACAGGTGATATGACATTCACATGCTCTTCAGCAATCTGCATTCACGGCATGTCATATTACATAGCTGACTGTTTAATGTACACCTGTTACCGATTTACACAACAGGAGTCGTTGAGCACCTTGCTAAAAAAGGTACAACAGAAAAACCTTGCAGGATCTCAAACCTTTGTGCTATTCATCGACGTTCTTTAGCACTGGGCTCGCTTTCAAAACCCACAGTGGATGACATTATCACACATCAATCAGTGAACACAGGGCCCCAGGTTGCCCAAAGCCATGGCAGGGCACCCCGGCCAAAGAAGGCATGGCGTCCGGCCGTGACGGCCGTGTGCAGGCCGGTGGGAACGGGCACCGGGCCTGTGGGAACAGGCACCAGGCCGGTGGGAATGGCACCGTAATAGGTGCACAACTGCAGCCAATTTAAGTGAATCTCCATTATGCTATTACTGCCCAGAACAATAAAAGAAGGAAAAAGACTTCATTAAACTGAATAAAAGTAAAAAAGTAAAGATACAAGATACAAGATCACGGTTAACAACTTAACTGTTTTTGGACACTACAGTAAGTGTTGCCTTAGAGCTGCTGTTAAAAATTTCTAACACGCTTTATGTTCATACTGCCTCATAAGTGAGTCACTGCTGATCAAGGCAACCCCAGTAAGCAGCCCAGCTCACTGCGACCGGCCTGAAGCGGCCAGACGCCAATCATCCCCGCAGAGAGGCTTCATTCATTTCTCCATTCAGGAAGCCAGTCCATCACATTTACGACGTCTGGGTACGTTGAGCCTCTTCGTCTCATGTTCACACTGCTGGGTATTTGCAGCTAAGCAAATATTGTCTGATTAAGTCAAATCACATGCAAATAGACACAGAAACACAAACACACACACGCAGCTCCTGTTACCGTGTCCATGGTGAAGCAAGACCTGCTCCAGTCCAGAGACGCCCCCAATTTCCTCAGCTGATGGTATATCTCTCCCCCTTTCCTAGGAAACATAAACACTCCTCGTCTTTAACGAGAAATAATCAACATACAGGACTCCATGCCGCAAAAGAAAAATGTCTGAATCCACAGCAGGATCTAGTGTTAACAAAATGTCAAGGCAACCTCTCTCTTTAACGGCAAAATCAGTTTTCAAATTAAAATCCCATTACCGTGACACGGTACAGCTTTTGCCTGAAGGGGGAGTAGTGGTTAAGGGTGTAAACTTGTGGCTTGAATTTCAATATGAAAATAGACATTATGGCCTCAAGACTGGTACTAAATCTCAATCACCTGATTCGTGTTCATGCGTATTTAAAAAAATTTCTCATATGTGCTAAGCAAATACATCATCTGATGGTCGTGAACATCCTGTACCTGGTATGATGATATTTTTGCGGCAGAGAGTGTTAGAGAGAGACTCACTCGTTCTTCCAGTGCCAGACCTCCCGGAGAAACTCCTCCCTGCTGAAATCCTTCCTGCGCTTCCCTCGTTGCCTCAACAGCCATCTCTCCACCACGGACTGACACAGGGAGGCAAGGAGCAAACGTTCTCTCAGCGTACCTGTAAACACCTCCTACAGCATCTGCTCTGCTCCTTAATCAGTTTATTACTCACTTTTAACCAGGGATTTTTATGGCTTTTTTTTTTTTTTTATACATTATTTACAAATTGTTGCCATGTGACATTTGTTTTGAAGTCTAACCAAAGCGAGCATGTCAGCCTCTTCCTTTCAGGGAAGCGGCTTTACCTGTGTGGCGATGCCAGCGTGGTCACAACCGGGCACCCAAAGAACTTTGTATCCTTGCATCCTTCTCCTAGACAATTAAAAATGAAGATTTTAGGGACAGTGGTCAACCTAAGCAGGACGGTGGAGCGGCAAAGTGCTTGGCACCGCCCCACCCTGCTCCTGGAGGGCTGGAGGTTCGAATGCCCCCCTCTGTCTCCGTGTCGTGTGGAGTCTCCATGTTCTTCCACGTTATGCAGGTTTCTTCACACGCTCCAAAGGAATGCAGTTAGGAGAACAGGCACTTCATGTGTGATAGACTGCTTTTCTGGGCAGGTTTTGGTTTGTGCAGCCCAATTCTATCACATCACAAGTCACTGACTGGATAGTACAAGGTAAGAATTTCTATTAACTGATGTGCAAAAGGCAAATAAAGAATCGAGAATCTTCAACAGACTCCCCTGACTCCGAAGGCCCTTCAAAACCCTGCACTGAGAAAGCAGCCGGAAGATGCATGAACATAACATAAATTTACAAACGAAAGGAGGCCTTTCGGCCCATCAATGGATGGAAACGAATTCGATGACATTTTTAACTTTAATCTTTCTTAACGCCAAATGCGTTTCCAAAGGCTGACATACTGCTTTTTTAAGTAATGCATAATATATCAGCACAACTTGGTTCTCAATGAGTAACAGCATGGAAGTTGTGGGCACGTTACTTCACCCCATCGTCAGGATGGGAATGAAGATGGCCAGTAGAGGGCAGCACACTTTGTGGCCTAGTGCCACAATTTAGATCTTGCTGGTGCAAAGTGCTAATCGATATAAATAAAACCAATGCCTAGAAAAGCAACAGCTTGGAAAATGAAGCCATTTCCAAAAACTCTGCATGGAGGATCATAATGGTCTCAATTTCAATAACGACACAATTTTTTTTACCAGTAATGTTGTACCAGTCATTTAAGTTTTGCCATTAAGGATGCAGCATAAAACTGACCAGCAAGTACATCAACTGATCAAAGCTAGCAAACACAGATTAGTCTGTCCTGATTTGGGTGCAAACAGGGTCAGCTGGCTGGAAACATGTTGTTGGAGAATAAAAGGTTTGTTACCAGTAAGGAATTATATGCAGTAGAACCTCTAAGATTTCAGTATTTGTTGTATATCAGACATTTTACACACTTGCATTGATCTTAAAGAGGTCATCTCTACATTAAGTTTCTTTCTATGAAAGTTCATCATCATCCTGTTGTTCAGTGCCTCATCGCTCACTGTGTGGCAGACCATTATCCCATAACCTGTCACGAAAAAAAAAATCACAAATGCACCCCTTAAAGTTTTAATTGTTTTTAGAATTAAAGAAAATACAACTCCATTAGAAGAGTTCATCGTTTGAAGATATTGATATTTTATTATTTAAAAAAACGTTACCAGCGAACCAGAGCATCCTCTATGGCAACCGTGAGAGCGTGGCCGAGGTGCAAGTTCCCAGTCACATTCGGAGGAGGGATGCACATGGAGAAGCATCGATTTACCGCCTGCGGTAGTCTGCTCTAAGGAGAGACATTTCAGGAGATTGACTCAGCAGGGAGATACACAAGGTGTGAGATTGTCAGTCGAACTGTAATATGCATGCATAAAGAATTTTAAAATATGTAAAACTTGACATTCAGAAAGATTCTATAATATTCTCAGCATTTCACTAGATCTCAATAGCAATGGAGTTAATCTAATAAAAAACATTTTCAAAAGTCTGGTTTTGGTTTTCAAAAGGAAATAATGAATCTGAATCAATGCATAAAAATAGGATCCAGCTATAGCAGTGCTTTCCAATCCAGTCCTCGGGGGCCCAGAGTCGGTCCATGTTTTTGCTCCCTCCTGGATACTCCACATTTTTGCTCCCAGGAGCTGGGAGGGAGTAAAATCGTGGACTGTCTATGGGTCCCCAAGGACCAGACTGAGAATAACAAGGCTATAGGGCTGCATACAGTTTTGCTGTTCCTAGTCTTACATGGACCTCAGGACTGAAGAACCCCTCCTTCTCCCACCACTGGTACCAGCAGGACTCCACGTATTGAGGGCTGTAGAAAGCTGGGAATGGCAGGGATGTGTCTGAGAGAGAGAGAGAGAGAGAGAGAGAGAGAGAGGGGCATTGGGAAGAAAGGGGCTTTTAGGAGCATAAGAAATACAACTGACAGCAGAGATATTCTGACAAATAAATCAGTATGTAACTGGTCATTTTAGATCAGCTAATGCAGAAACTGAGTCTTTCATTGCCTGACTTTTCACCCTAGTTTACTTGTTGCCTGTTCTGGAGAGTTTGCTTTCTGATGCTCTCTCCATATCAACTGAGGTACCTTGAAGGCATAACTTTAAATTTAATCTAAATTCCCTCAAACTGTGTGCTCACAAAACAAGAAGTGGAACACTCCATGCTCCTCTATAACCCAGCATTATACATGCAGATGAAAGGTAAATGGTTAAAAAATTGTAAAAATCCAAATGAAGGCTCCTACCTTTCTTCTCCCCAGAGAGGGTTGATCCACGGTACACTATTGTTCCTTTCTCATTCCACTTAATCCCTTCATCTTCAACCTTCTGCAGAGTGCAAATGGTTTAATAAACAACTTCTACTTCTGCCTTTCACTCAGCCATTTATGTGACTCGGGTAATAATACCCCAAAACGGTAAGGCTCTAGCGCACTTACGGTGCTTTGGTTGTTCAGAATGGCTGTTTGCTTTTCTCTCCTTCTCTTCTCTTTTTCTGCTTGAGTTCGGGGAGAACGGGCAGAAGAGGAGGGAGATCCTGAACTTTGGGTACATTGTTTGTGCTCCCAGATAGCCCAAACCCTTCGCATGCCTCTCCCCCAGCTCCTGGTAAACAGGGGACAAGCTGGCTTCCACATCACCTTACAGAAAATGCCAATACCATTTATAACGTTACATTAACGTGACAGTAATGCGCCACACGTAAACAGTCGTCAGAAAGATTTCTTTTAAAAACTGGATACCATACTGCTACCTAAAGTAGTTTTGACATTAATAAACAACCCAAGTATCATATAGGCACCCGATAATTTAAATTAATTTATGAGTTGAGGTATTTTGTATAAGTAATCATCGGATATTTAAGCTTGTTTCCTTTCCCCACATAAACTAGAGTATGTCTATCACGAACGCGTGACAGACTGTCGCCCCAACAACCACCCTTCCCTTGCACCCTCGATACACTACTATCTTCTGCGAATTGCAGTCATACACCGAAAAAAATATTTTGGCTAATTAGCCGTAGCCAAGTAAAGTGGCCCAAAATGAGAAGAGTAAAAGAGTTTAATTTAAAAAAAATGTTTGCCCGTTACTATGGTTAAACCACTTCCCGAACAGGGAGGTTACAAGAGATGCGGATCTTACTGGGCGCAGACATTTTAGATTTGAACTTTGAACTCTGATCCATGTTTTTTCATTGTCAACTACTGACGAGGTTCTCCCACAACCTGCCCACGAAGAATACAAAAATATATATTAAACATATTTATGCTTAAATCGACTCTTTAAATATTGCAGTCCTTAATTTTAATGCATTTAATTAGAGTTTTGGTAGAGTGGAACCGATATGTTTCGTCGAGTGTTTCCTTTAGGAACACAATCCAGTTTACAATACATTATGTATAAATTTAACAATATATAAAACGTTCTAAAAAGTAATTACCTTAAATGTACACTTTACAGTAAAATGACATTTTCTTTGAGAATAAATTTGAATCAATGGCTGATTTAAAGGGGCACAGTGGAGGCGGAACAAAGAAACCGGAACCGCAGACGGGGAATGAATAAGAAGGTGGGCGTGATCTTACCGGATGTGGTCCTTGCGATCTCAGTCCCTCCTACACCTGCGTTAACCATCTGCTACCAAAACAAATCGCCTGTTGCCATTAACAGCCTTAAGCGACGTTATTTGGGCGGTGATCTAGTGTCGTTAACAGCGTGGACCAGAGTCGTCTGGTGTCGGCTGGTTCTCGCTTTGCTGCTGTAGGGGTTTGTTTGCGACGCTAGGTGGCTAGCTGAAGCTGACAAGCTATGGCGGAGGTCCCAGGTACTTCGAGTGAGACGATAACAGAGACGGTGCAGGCAGACACACCGCCGCCTCCTCAGCAGGTACGATTTTACAGGCATTAAAAGTGATGTGTAGGTAGAGCTAATAAGGAACATTTAATTAGTCAGGCGATTTATCGGATGTGCTACGCCGTTAATGACAGATGAGGTCCCTACTGATATATCGGTAATGCATATCTAGCTATCACTGGTGATTTAGAGTACGCTTAGTCATTTTGGCAATGTGTACGCTAAATTTCCGGTTTATACGCAGATACGTTTTATACTGGACCATTTTCGTGTTCTGAATTGTCTTTAATGAATGAACATATAGTTACATGTGGCGGATGTATTTCAAATGGTGGTAAAATAATTAGCTATGGGGGAAATTAATGGCTACTACCTCCACGTATCTCACCGCACTTGCCAACTTCATTGAAAGATTTACAGCATCGAACTGTTTACGAATATGTTCTTCTGCTGTTAATAGACTGCTTAACAGATTGTAAATTTGGCAGTGAAACACGTTTTTAAATAGTAAAATCTATCAAACTGATACGTGATCGGCCTGTGCAATACCCTGAATGTGCTCTGCACTTTAGATCTGTAAAAAAAATTGGGCGCAAGCCACCCATCTTTATCAGTTTCCATCAATCGTCACTAATGACTTACCGAGTTACCGCAAAAAGCATATTTTTAACGCGCTTTTTAAAATACTCGATCCTTATCAACTGATGAAGCACATTATTGACTATGCAGACAGCCGGTCATCTACAAACGACGGAGTAGTATTGCTATGCTTAGAGAAGTGAAATACGAGCGAATGAGCAACGATGGGGATTGATGGTGGATTGTGAAAGGGTGTTTGTAGACAAAACAGCGAAGTTGCTATGTATAGCACGGTCATAAACCTAATGTATCCAGCAGCAATAGGCAGTTTTGATTAAATTGTGTGTTCCAAGGAGAGGCGAGGACCTGGCAACAGCGTCAGTCAGTAGATGAGAGTTCTGTGGGATACAGATGATGTTCTTGGTCTGAGAGCACCAGAAGTTGCCAAGCTTCTTGGCAAAACCGCAGAGCAGGACAGAAGCATACATTGTGTATTTCCCTTACAAATGAAACTTAATAATTGAGAACACTAATATTCCATAAGCTTACTTTATGTTGATTGTATCATTATTACATCCAAGATAAATGCACAGGCAGTGTAAGTGTAGGTTTCAGGTTAAACTGCTCACTTGTACATCTGCCTTTTAGGAGGGACGGAGCCTGACTATCAAGCTAAGGAAAAGGAAGACCGAGAAAAAGGTGGAGTGGTCCAGTGACACCGTCGACAATGAACATCTTGGCAGGAGGTCCTCCAAGTGTGAGTGTTAGCTCCATCTCACTGCTTTACCCTGAGCTTTGTGTTGGATAATTCTCTGAAATCATGTCTTCTGTTGTCCCTTGTTTTGTATTGAAAGCAGTGAGTGAATTATGTTCGCATGATATGTTTACTATGCTAGCCGCTTTGACCCAGCAATCTCATCATGTTTCTATAAATCAGGAGTAATATGCTTTTTAATTCCGTGTATATTAAATGTTAATTGATGATTGACTACATATGCCGTCGCAGGTATTTGCCATCTTTTAAAATGTATAGGTTTTATCCTGGTTATTGTAAGGTGTCCTTTTTTTTTTGTTGCAGGTTGCTGTGTATATGAAAAGCCACGCCAATTTGGACAGTCTTCTTCAGAAAGTGAGGGAGAAGATGATGAAGGCTGTGGTAGTGCACACTGTATTATGGGACATGGAAGGAATAGGCATGGACAGAGTGGCGGTGGTGACTCCACAGCGCCTCCTAGTTCTGGAGGACCTAACACCCATTAGTAGTCTCCTTGTAAGACTGCATATGAAAGAGATAAGGCTTCTGATAATGATAATACAAACAGATCTAGTTATTACCACTCACATTTTGTCACTCTAATGGTAGAAATGAGAATAAAGGAGTATAAGAAACCAAAATAGAACCAGAATAATGCAGTACCTGAAAAAGATGGGGAGCATTTTTTCTTTACAAAATGATATCGGCAATCTATTATATAAATGGGGAAAGGGGTAGTTTGTATATAATTCCACCATTTTATTAATTTTTTTATGTTTCGATTTTTATTTATTTCTCTTAAAACACAATTGTGATTCTGTATCTTTGAAATAGTGCACTGACAGATTATAGTAGTAAGATTTGCCCCGTCATTAACAAAAGTATTGATACCATTAAAAAAAGCTGTTTGCCATTCATTTGAAAGTGTTTTCAGTCAGGCAGATTTTTATATAAATTTATCAAAATGTAAATCTAAACTGAGTGAATGTAGTAGTTTTAATGTTAGAACTAATATTAAAATAGTGCAGAAGTTTGTAGGGTTAGGGGGTAAGATGTGTGAAATCTGACAGTGTTCTGAATTATCCAAATTAAGTAATTACTTGTATAAATCTTAAGCCATGTTGTTCAAATCTACCAAGCAGCCATTTAAAAGTAGTATACTTCATATCACTTAAATAAACCACATACAATGTTTTAGTAACATTTTTTCATTAAGATCTTTGGGTAGAGTGCTGTGAAGTATAGATCTTAATGATACTTCTAATGTGATGTTATTGTTCTGTTAAATCGATTTAATTAAGTAACACTTTCAAATGAAGGGTGGACTCTGTAGGGCATCGATGTGCTGTTTTGATGCTACTTTCAAACCAACCTTATGGAAATTTGAAATGTTATTAAGATTCTTCAAAGTTGTGCAGTGGTTAGCACTGTTGCCTCACACCTCTGGAACCAGGGTTCGAGTCTCCACTATTGCTCCATGTGTGTGGAGTTTGCATGTTCTCCCCATGTCGTCGTTGGGTTTCCCCCCACAGTTGAAAAACATGCTGAGGTTAATTGGAGTTAGCAAATTGCCCATAGGTGTGTATGTGTGAGTGAATGGTGTGTGAGTGTGCCCTGTGATGGGTTAGTGCCCCATCGTGGGTTGTTCCCTGCCTTGTGCCCTGTGATGGGTTAGTGCCCCATCGTGGGTTGTTCCCTGCCTTGCACCCATAGGCTCCAGACACCCCGTGACCCTGAAAGGATATGTGGTTACAGAAAATGGATAGAATAGATTAGCACTCGTCCTCTTCAGTAAATTGCTGTATATATTTGTTTACATTGTTTTGTTCTGATTGGATGTTTAAACATTTCTTGGTACATTAACAGTCTATAAATTCCTCAGACAATCTTTTAAGAAAGTTCACTGTCATGGTCACAGATAAATAAAATATTCAGATGTGTAGCACAGGGTACCTGTACATCAAAATCAGGTTGTATGTATTGCTTTAGAGGAAACATTAAAAAGTAGTAAAACTCAGCAAAGAAGAAAACATGGGGTTATGTAATGCTTTTTGAAGAAAGGGAAAGGTAAATCACAAAATGTGGCAGATCACAAAAATGCCACATGGTTATGTGGATGATTTGGTCAGCATTTTGCCAAAAATCATATCTTGCCATTTTTCATGTTCTGTTGAAATGCTTCGAGCTCTACAGGCTGTCATTCCAAAAGTGCACCATCAGGGGTACTAGTAATAACCTTAGCCTGCATGGCAACTGAAAGGCTATACTTTCATTTTTGTTGGGGACCTGCAAAATAAAGACATTGAAAAGAGAAATTGGGGGAGGTTGTCGGAATACATATGGGTAGTGCTGTTAGAACTATATTAAGTTTAGGTTCAGTGTTGGCTGAACCTGCAACACTAAGACTGAAATGAACACATTCAAGTCTGACTGATCGGAATGCTTCCTGCAGCTCCGACCATATTTTGACTGGGTCGTCCTCAGTGCCGTTCTCAAACTACTGGATGTGCTTTAGGAAGTGATTCACCAATTTTCAGTGTATGCCACCATTTTCTATTATACAAACGGACACATATGCTATTGTACTGTTTATGCACATATCTGTACATAACAAATGGAAATTTAACACCAATAAAAAGGTTTGAACTGAGGGTATGTTCTTTGTCAATGAGGAAGAGGACAATTAATCTCCTACTGTCTTTTCAACCTGAACCACTGTGACCCACAGATGGTCCATGTTTTTGCTCCCTGTTAGACAGGCTGTGCGTCAAGGACTGGATTGGGAAACACTAATTAACGTAATTAAATAATTTAACAAATCAAGTACTTTTTGCAAGAGAAGTTGTATGTTCCCTCATGAAGGTCTGATACCAGAGGGTCTTCTTGGGGGTGAAGTTACACTTGGATCCAGTCGCTGATGCTTGATCCACTATTCTGAACTTATACAGTATATGTACTTGTCATATTGAGCATGGCAGTACTCTGTATTATCTGTAAATACACAAGGATTTTTAGATATACCTGATTGATAGCAAGGGCAGCCAGTGATTACCAGTGTAGCCAAATCTCTGCACAGCTGGGAGTCTGACTTTTGCCCTGGCCCTGTGCATGCAGTGTCATGGAGTTTCCTGTAGTGTGACTGTATCCTGCAATGATCCAGAATCCCATTCAGGAAGCACAGCTTGCTTGTGGATGGTTGAGATCTAATGATCATAACTGCATCCCAAGGATTTTTTTTTTCATAAGAAAAACTTTAGCATTGCTTTAAAAAATGGAGAATCTGTTATTAATATACTTTGATACATTCATTGATTAGGATCTGCTTAAATATTTCCTCCTATTAATGCAAACCATGCTCAGTGTTCTCCAGTAACCACAAGAAGACATCACAGAAAAAAAACGGCAAAAATCTAGTCACCAGTTTTCCAGTGGAACTATCCATTTAATTCTCTAAGTACAGTAACGGGTCAAACGTCTGAGGTACGAACAGCAGATTGCAGGACATCTCATTCTTTAATAAGTAAAAAAAAAAAAAACTACAGAAAATGTAAAAACACATTTGGTTCACCGATCCAGAATTTACAAGCTTTACAAACCATATCTGCTAATATATACCATATGAAAGTACCCTTGTATTATAACTAGCTCCAGTGGGTATGTTAAAAGCTACAGCAAGCTATATGTGGAGATTAGGTCTGTGCAAACAAACAGGAAAGGGCCCTGTCACTCTTAAATGGCAATAGTGGTAAATCACTAATTTATATACATTTTACATCAGCATTAAGGAATTTCTTTAAAGTGAAACTGGCATTCCCAAAGCAGCACACAAGCCCGCTCTCTAGGCTGAAATACTGGGCTCCCCTAACATGCATAGGTATAGTACAGGCCAAAATGAAATGGCAAAAGAACACTTTAAACATATAGTGGCCAGTAATATACTAACGTAGCACAACATAGATGCAGGTGCTATAGGAAAGACACAGACCCACCTTGAGTCATGAATCATTTCCACATTTCTTCCTTAGATAGAGCAAACACTATAACTGCACCTTTCGGAGCTGAATCACGTTGTTACAATGAAAACACACAGAGTTTTTCATATAATATATTTTATACTGCATTACAGTGAAGCATATTAGTCTATCGTTGAATAAATTCACACAAAGGAAGGCAGATCTAAACATGCAATGAATGGGCATCTTAAGACACACAACGGATATGTAAAAATGCCGTTCATTTGCACATGGATATAAAACTAAGAAGAACATGTAGTGAAAGTTGGGGTCATTCAAAAAAAGCAAGTGGTTTTCAATGTCATATCAAACCAACGGAAAATGTAACACTTAATTCTGAGATATTTCTTCATACATACAAAGAGTAATAATGTCGGACATTAGGTGCTACTGGTACTGGTTCACAAAAATCCCCTTAATAGAGCTATATGATGCCAAGTGCAACAGTGTCCCCATTACGTTATAAAACTCGCAACATTATAAACCACAACACAGCAGTCAGCCGGATTGGTATGGCTCCATGCCTGACCCCCTGGCCGAGGGGGTTAATACGCAAAACATGGCATTATGTTTCACAGTGATGGCTAGGAGTGGAGTTAAAAACTTAAACAGTCAGCAAACAGGAGCTCTCACAAGCATGGTCTGTGACATTTTTCTCAACCTCATTGACCTGTCAAATGATATGGAGTAGTTTTTTCTTCCATACACACAAACAAAGCTCACGTTGTTTTTAAACAAATTTGTTTGTAGAATTCTCTGAAATGTAGTCTGTAACGACAAACTATCATCCTAACCTCAGTGGTGGAGGCAGCATCACGGCCCAGTGTCGATTTCAGAAGTCCCTCCAGGCCCAATTATTAGTGTCATCATTTCAAACTGCACACGTCGAGTCTTGTATACATACGTTGTGCTTAGCTATAGTGGTATTGTTGCTGCAAGAGGATACTGTTTGTTCACAGGACAGAAATAAATACAAGGGGGAAACAGTTGTTCTTTCAGAAGATCAGTTCCCCGTACTTCTCTTCTGGAGAAACGTGAAAAGTCAAGTTTCATTAGTGCCGGTGATGATCCTTCAGGTCAACTGAATAAACCACCGAAAACCTGAAGAAAAACAAACAGAAAAATGAGGACGCAAATTTAGAGATCGGTGTTGACACACCACAGCACACAACAACGAAATGTGTTCCCTGTATTTAACCCATATGTGACATAGCAGGGGACAGCTAATTCAGCACCCGGGGAGCAGTGCTTGGGGGCGGTACCTTGCTGGTCATTTGCATTTATGAAATATGGCCTGAGCTGGGTGAGATATTTGGACCGATGCCACATCAAGAAAAATGAAAGAGAAAGATGCAAAAGACAGAGGAGCAAAGGGATGATGGTGACTCCAAGCCCATCAAAAAACTGAAATAAAATGAAATTAACACCTGATATTTTGCTGATTACTCATATTCTCATTAAAATTCCACCTACCTACCACAACATTTAATAAATACTCAAGCGCCATCTGTTTTACCAAGACAAGTGATTTACTCAACACCCTTTGCCTACCAAATGCTTTTTATGACACTTAGCACTTCTAATGCCTCCGAGTGGATGCTGTTCTTCTTATAACTCTGTAGCCAGGCAACTCAGGCCGCCGCTACAGCCCTGGTGTGACACGAGGCACAACTCAGGCCGCCGCTACAGCCCTGGTGTGACACGAGGCACAACTCAGGCCGCCGCTACAGCCCTGGTGTGATACGAGGCACAACTCAGGCCGCCGCTACAGCCCTGGTGACACGAGGCACAACTCAGGCCGTGATATTTCCCTGCTAGCTCATACCTAGGCTTTGAGCCAAGACCCTCACAAAGCTGTGTGTGATTTAGTGGTTGGGGGGGTGGCACAGTCACATGGTCTGCTGGATCACTCATTCTGCACCACAAACACACTGTTGACACCAGAGTCATGTCAGTCCAGCTGGCATTCTGCTAGAGGAGAGCTGATACACAGCAGTTCCTAAACCCTTCAATGGAACTCCACCATATGTAGTAAATATCAGGGAGGGCTCATAAATGATCATTTTTAAGATGTACAATACAGGCGTGTTTCATACAATGCTGACAAAGACTTTTTGGTGGCAGTTGGAAAAAAATGGATCTTTGTTTCAAGTCCAGATAAAAAATGTCAGAAGCCCTGAATTATATTAAATTCAGAGTGATATTAAGTAGCACTGTATCCTCAGCATTAATTTTCTACACCTGAAACAGACTTTATAAAGAATTTAAAAAGCATAAGAAATCCTTGCCATATAATAAAGATACTACATTTCACTACATGTTGTACTTGTATAACTATGTACATGACAAATAAAGACATCTTGAAACATGGAGAAGTTTAAATCCATCATGCATTTTCCTTAAATAATTCTGAGCATCTGCAATGGGTTGGCACCCTATCCTGGGTTGTTCCCTGCCTTGCGCTCATAGCCTCCAGGATAGGCTGCGGACCCCCATAACCCTGAATAGGAAAAGCGTTACAAAAAAGATGGATGGATGGATGGATGGATGGGTGGTTGAAGAGAAATAAACTGACCTCACTGTTCCACGCCCATTTTTAGGCTGCAGTCTTTTTGTTGCACTCCTCCATAGCTTGCACAGGTTCTCCTTCTCCATCCACTTTCCTCTCCTCATTGCTCTCAGCCTCCTTCCCATCCCCCGATACCGTGCTCTGGTGGACGCTGACAGAGATGACTAGTACCTGGAGTATGCCATACACCAGAGCAAACTGGGGCAGGTACTCCTGGATGAGCCACAGGAGTCCAGCCATTCCCACAGTGGAGACGAAGAACATCGCCATGCCGTGTATCCAGAGCTTCAGCGCACCCTGGACACCCAGAACATCTAGGACGACCCTGACCGGAGGGGAAACAGTCCAGAGGAAGCCAACGACGAAGAGGTCAAACAGGTGCCGCAGGAAGTTGAAGCAGATCTCATAGTGCTCAGGCAAGACCTCCACCTTCCAGGAATGTGCGAAGTAGCGAAAGGGAGACAGAGGCTGTGACAGAGGTGTGGGAGAAGGAGGTGGGGTCCCGTAGTCCGACTCGCCCGCATCTTGGTCCGGATCCCACGCTCCCTCGTTCCATTCCTCGTATTTTAGTACTTCTCTCTCTCTCGTTTCAGTTAGTCTCGGCCAGAATAAGAATGTCGAAGGCAGGATCCAACTCCACCATCTGGGGGCGCTCTGCGATTTTGGTTCCAGCTCTAGCCTTCCAGCTCTTAGCTCTTCAATTTCCATGGGTTGGACCTTCTCTCTCTCCTCCCAGCAATGTTTGGCAAACTCCTTTTGGTCACTTTCTTGTTTCTTGTCTGGCCACAACCAGGTGCGCATTCCACCCCATCTGCCTCTAGTTTGTTCCTCCTCTTTCACAGGCTTGCTGCCCCAGGGACGATAAGACAGGGCGGGGCTAACCCACCCCCAGACTCGTCCTACAACAGCTGACATGCTTATTTGCTCACTCTATTTTTAAAAGAATTTAAATTATTTAATGGTATTTAAACGGAGACTTGGCAAAATTTGTCTTAATTTAGAATTTTTTTAAAAAAAGTCTATGACTATCCTTAAAATTTAGTGTTGAAAGCTACTCTCTTTGCGTGGATATTTATTCGAAAACAAGGAGCACAGGATGCCACGAATGCAACATGAAGAACTGCGATCGAGGTGCGCAGATGACACGCCTAAAGCGGGAAGGGCACAACAGGTGTGTTAAATCACTGAGCCCTCCGGCAACCACGACATTAATGGCGTCAGGCCTATTTATCCACTCCTTGCTGTCTGTGGCAACGACTGCAACACCGAGACAAAAAAAAGAAACACCTACAATGATTTAGAATGGCACGAGTCTGCGAAACAGCAACTGTTCGCAAAAAATACACCAGAAATGTATAAAGTAAAGTAAAGACGTCTGGTTTACAATTTCAAGAAAAATGTGGAAAAAGCTGTACGAGACAAAAGATTTTTTCCCAGGACAAGACGGGAAGATTGTCGGTTCCCTTTTAAGAGCAGAGATGTCTTTAGTAGTATTTGTAATCAAATGCAACTTCGCTTGCTAGATTACCATTATCATCAATTGAAATCAAACTAGTTCTTGTTTTGGGAAATAGAAGGTTAAGCACAAAAAAATTCTAATTCATGGTAACGTTCAGATTAAGACTTACTGCCCCGCCGCTAACTAGCTAAGCACTGTTAATAAAACACACCAAATCAGCCAATTAACGCCATATAGAAAAAAACCTTTACCAATTCCAGCCAAATAACATGTGTGTACTTTAAAAATTGCAATTAGGATGACCGATAGAGAAACTACTGGAATACTAAACGTTGCCCGACCAAACTTGGTGGCTAGACTAGCTACATTATGAAGCCTTAACTTAAAGGATATATCATCTTTACCGACGTGAATCGGGCGTCTTTTCTCCAGACTATTTAAAAAGAGATTTTCCCTGATTTTCAGCACGCCGAGTCCGATCCTCCGCTCATGTCACGTCAAACTTTGCAAGAGTCGAAGGTCCCGGCGTCCTCTTCCGCCAAAGTTTTCATTCGGCTAGCTGACTAATGTTAGCTTCTCCACGGGGGGGTCTCAGTCACGGTACTATCTAGACAGTACTACTGTTTTAACTACGAACCTACACTTTTGGCAATTATTATACTTCACAGTACATCACAGGTCTCGTCTTCGCTGGTTTTTCGTCCTCTGACACCTTAGACGTTAGCTAACGCGAAAGCCGTTTTGTCATTAGCCGTCGGTACCGACAGAACAGCTATATTGTAAAGACGCCGCAAACTCCAGTTGGCTTTTCGCACAGCTGAGCGGTACCGTTCGGCTTAGGAGTAAGTTAACCTTCGCTTTCCCTTTTCGGAACGTCGCGCCCGCCAGTTTCACCCATGACTCAAACTGGAACACATTCATCCACGGTTAAATAAGGCTGCTAGGTAACACTTGGAAACCGGAAGGAGTTGCGGTCACGGAATTCCAAATAACGGGAAACCGCAAGGGGTACCTGGGAAATGAAGGCGTTTAAAATTGACCCTAATTGTGCTACGTACAATTTCGTGAATGAGGGGATGTGAAGTATACACGATATATCCAATCACCATCCGCTACCAGACAAGAGCAGGAAAATACAGCGAGAAAGGTTCGTCATATGTAAAATGGTGTAATTTAGGCGGGAAATGAAATTGGTAACTCATTATACAAAAAAGGCCCAAGTTCCCTCAGAATGTTTGGAAATCGAGTCAATCATGTAGTTCCCTCAGCTAGGGTAAACCAAAGGCTAGTGTCAGCTTTTTGCAACAAGCTCCCCTCCATATTTGGTGAAGGGATTTGAGACACTTGTGATCATATTTGACAACTATGTAATTTGAGGAATATCATGTACAAGTAATCTGAAACAGGTGGTATAAATAACTGAAATTTTGCCCTTTCCTAAAAGGATTTAAGAAACTGCCCACTGTTTTTCCCCAGTAACAGTGGACATCTTACACCAGACTTACAGTACAGATCAGTTCCCTGAGGTTCAAGGTGTGAAGTGAAAGGGTGTGTATATAACAGAAGACAACTGACAACAGTTTTAATTAGAATAAAGTTTATTCCACAAGTACTTTCACATATTCTAGAAAAATCAGACAGAACGCATACAGAAGCAGACTAAGGAACATATATCCACAAACCAATTTACCTAACAAAATGCAGAGACTAATCCAAGTCAAGCTTAGTTTACTCAAATGTAAAATTTGGTAGTCGTAACAATCTAATGTAAAATACTGTAGCAGTACAGAATTTTCTAAACACTGCTCAGCTGACCATGTGTACACCGATACTGACCTTTTCCCTTCAGCATTCTACGGCTGCAGCACTTTTCTGTATCAGTCCAGGAAACGCTGGAAGAACAACCAGTTCAGAACCACTCAGATTGGCTCAACACCCTGCTTCCATTAATGCCGCCAAAATGCAGAGGTGAGGAACAGTTAAGAATATAGCGGCAATATAACGCTGCCCCCGTGGAGTCAATTTTGGAGTACCTCAGTGCGCTGCGAGTAGAACATCAGCATAAGTCAGGTGAACCGTAAAACTGAATCATCACTGGCACTCCAATCTACTAGTCGGCTACATCTACTCAGCAAGTTCACAGATCAACGGGAACTTTATACTGAGTGCACAATAGCTGCCACAAACTGCACAAACTAGACTCGGCAACATATCAAATTTCTTACCACATGCTGGTAGGCAATCCTGAAGGCCGAGTCCTCATTTTACATTCTGCGGGATGCAGGGGGACACCATTAGTGTGACATGCAAATACAGAGTGTCCATGCACATCTATGCCGTGTGTTCAGTACACTGTGAAAAGAGCTTCATACTGCAGTCAGAGACTCTAGTCTTATCGATCATCATCACACACTGGTCAGTCAAACTGGAATCATTGCCCACTAGGCATTAGAAAAACTTAATGCTTACCAAATTCTAGAGTTCCTCTTCCTGGAAATCTACAACTGTCCATGTTTTCGGAGCCTAAAAAGACAAGGCAATTAGCATCACATATACTGAGAAAGGGCATTTTTACTGCGCCATGAGGTGTGATCAGTGCACTGTGAAAAGAGCTTCATGCTGTAATCAGAGACTCTAGTCTAGTAATTCATCATTACACACCACAAGATGTCCTTATAATCTACAGGTCTGAATCTGTACAGCCACTGCACGATAAAGGATGGCCAACAAATCCAATGTGGACCTGGGCCTGTCATTCAATATAAAAATTAGCAACTTTACTCTGTACTGAAACTCCATCTGTAAAATGGAGAAACCATAGCATCTACTCAGTAATCAATTCCAGACCTGTAAAATATGATGACTTACCATATCAGAATCACACAGCCAAGCCTCCACTCCATATCCTGATCACGTGCAAAAAGGGGGAGGGAGAATTAGCATAAACATGCATATGGAACTCCAGCACCACTGGGGAGAGGGCACATGCAGAAGCAGGGTGTGTTCAGTGCACTGTGAAAAGCGCTTCATATAGAATCAGAGACTCTAGTCTATTAGATCATCTTTACACACCAGGGGTGGGTTTAGCACATATGTACCTAACATGGAACTCATTAGCTCAGCAAAGGCCTTATCCATCCCCTTTAAATGTCTGTCGAAGTACAGACCATAGGCTCTAAACATCTCTGCTACTTTGATTCTGACAGCTGAAGATTGATTAAAACACATTAAACCAATCTTACGGTTAGCTGGTACAAATTGAAACCGACTCTCAACTCCTCTTAAATACCACCTAGAATGGTTTTTTTATTTATTTAATGGCATAACTTGAGCCTTTAGAATGATAAAAAAGGAAAAAAATGGGATCGTCACTGCTGAACAGGCTCTACGCGCAGAAATGAATATGGTCAATGTATGAATTTGGTTGATCCAACAACGTTGGAGCTCCAGGTCAGCTAACCTTTTGTCAAAGACCAAAGGAACATATGTAAGCGTAAAAACATGAGCTGACCAATATTCACATAAGGGGAGATTATATTTACAGTAGACGAATGGGGGGGAAATCACAAATATTTGTCGGTTTCACTCATCTCTAGTCGAACACGTCGTGCGGTTAACCTGTAAGGCCAGCAGCCACGCAACGTGCTCGAAACAAAATTTTACCATGCATCGTCTCGCTAAACACGAAATTAGCGACAAATAAGTAACACAAAACGATCAGCGATTAGCAAGCCAACCAATATAATTTCCAATTATTAGTGGGTTCATATTTAAAAATGCACGTGTCAAAGTTAGTGCTAGACCACTTCAAACAATAACACAATTAAGCATGAATGTCCCAGCATATAAAAAGGAAAAAAATCTCCAAATATAAACCTTAGTCAGTACTATTTACAAAAGTTAAACTAAAACGGCAAAGATTTAAGTTGTGAAATAAGCAATCAAGAGCTACTGCAACAGCTTACCCTCGAATGCAGCCGCTTAGCTAGTTAGCGCTAAAGAAAAGGAGTAACAAGGGGCGCGATGCGTTTTATGCTTATCGCGTGTGACGACGGGTCCTCGCTCGCTGAAAAGGTGTCAATTGCACTGCCTGCATGAAATACAACTAGTAACTACTGTAACATATTTTAAAAGATGTACAATTTTAACGAAAATATATACATTAATATCATACATAAAATGAAGAATACGTAGTGTACGTCGGTAATGGGTTTGCACTGCTCGTGAGGTTTGAAGAGGCTTTTCAGGCTAAATATAAACGACCTATATTTAATGGTTATAGGCTAATTGTAGCAGTCTTTACTGCACAAATGCCCTGATGCAAAATATTTATAAACCGGCTATTTGGTTTAATGGTATTACACGTTTTCCCCACCTACACATACACTGAAAAACGCCCAGTGCCAACGACTGTATTTTAAGTTGTAAAACATATCAAAATGTTTGGCATACGTGTCCACCGTTATAGTTTTCCTTAATTGCTGAAGCATTATCTCAAAGCATTAAACACAAAATCTAATTTTCAGACGACATTCACAAAACCTCTCACTCATCTTGCAATCAAACAAACAATCTTCTCAGACCTATTTTATCTTCACCCAAATTTGCTTTCAGGTCACGCACAAAGTCGATCAATACAGCATTCATTGCACACTACAGCAAAAAAAATCAAAAATACTACCAGTCAAAACTTTTCCTAACATGTAGAGAAACCTGTTTACTGTGGATATGGTCTTTTGCATGTTGAGTTGCAAAATTTGGAACCAACTGCACAAGACTAAGGTAAAAAAAATGTTGTTAAGCAAAGATGTTTATATGGAACTATGCATAAAGCAATATGTAATGTTTGCTGTATTCAGAACTCAAAAAAAAAAGTTAGTGTAAAGGAAAAAGTTTAAAAAAATATCCAAATGAAAGGCACACTACAGTAAAATGTACAACTGCCAAGCCAAGAGTATAACTGTTCTGTGTCATCATCATGTCTAAGGGCTGGATCAAGACAGAGAACTTTGTCTAGGCGACCATCAGGGGAAAAATCCTCTTTTGTGACCTATCCATACCTTGAAACTAAACTCAACTCACTTATGGCACTTAACAGGGGTGTCGAAGGGGGCACGGACACCCTGATAGATTCAGGAAGCCCAGCACATTACAGGGGTCCTTGAAGAGGAAAAACTGCAAAATCATATAATGTAAGAAGGACAGGGGGACTCAAGGCTGCATTTTGTCAGCCTATATATATATGATGATAATAGATGTAAAATAATGAAAGTTATACTGAGGAATAAATAGTTATACTGATTAAAACAAAAAAAGATTTATTGTAGAACAAATAGGCCTGAGATGTGCAACACAGTCGTAATAAAGTGTGAGGTCAGCGGTGGACATTTCAGGTCCAGAGAGTATACAAATCCAGACCGAGATTTTGTTTCAACCAACCGGTCACATATAAAGAGTCACAGAGTACTCAACTAGTCAGTTGAAACAAAACCTTGGTCTGGATTTTTACTTTATGGACCTGAAATGCCCACCTCTACAGATGCATGCATAGAGGATATGAATTAAAGTGTCAGTCAGTTATTGAGAAACTGAATGGTTTGAGGGTAGAAGTTCCTTCTGAGCCTTTCAGTTCTCACTGAGACAACAGACGTGCTTTTCAGACTCTTCAACTTGGTGATCGACTTGAAAATGGGTTCAGGCCTCTAAGTATTTGGTTCGGGAATGTGGTTTAAGTTTCTTAAAATTCAGAAAACTAAAATAACCTTGGTACCAAAACGTATGTTTAGCAAATTGTATTGCTTGAGCCCTCGACCCTGATCTACAGATCTTATTCTACCCCCCCCCCCAAAAAAAGTAAATTAATATCCAAAAAAATAAACATACATCTTCATCTGTTTTGGCACATGCAACTTTTAACAATGAATGAGTTAAAACTGGAATGGTTAAATAACTGAGATGAAACTTTATGTCCCGTTCCTAAAACGATACAACGTGGACACCTCTGGTTTGTTTTTATCG